TTTGTGGAGATTTTTACAAATTTCAATAGTTGAAAACATGAGTCAATTGAAGTTAGACCACCACTGATCAATTGTCCAGTCCTGCTAAATTATCAACCATTAACGTTTTGATATCGAATCTTGATGGATTATATGACAAAATGTTTAATTATTAAATAATTATGGCCAAATAATCAATCCTAAACTTTTATAATCGTTACAATAATTCACAATTGCATTTCGTTCGTTTTCAGCATCATATACATTCCAATGAAAATGACACTATGTATCCGTTATGATCAATAAGATTACTTATAAAATCTTTTTAACACTTGTTTAGAAAGATGTCAACCCTTGGAATATCGATGTTATTGTTCATGGTATGTAGTGAGTTTATTGACTTATCACATCTATTCATTACGCATTGAGAGCAATATATATTTTATAGTATGAATCATTTGTACGCACTAAACTGTGTATTGATAAAGACATCAATTATGCAATCGGAAATCTTTTTTTTTAAGCGAATGTAACTTGAATAATTCAAGTTTTAGCTTAAGTTATCCACTGATGGTACTTACTTACTTACGCCTACTACCACTTTTTGAGGAGCATAAACCGCCCACCAGCATTCTCCATCCAACTCTGTCCAAGGCAATTCTTTACAATTGTTTCTAGCTGTTATTCATCCTTCTCATATCACCTCAACGCAGTGTTTTCTTTGGCCTTCCTCTTCTGCTTTTGCCTTCACGATTCCTAGTTGGCGCTTATCACGTGATACAGCCCGGTGATTTCCGCAATGTGTGTACCATCCACTTCCAACGTCTCTCCATAATTTCCTCTCTCTCCCACAGTAAGTTGTCGCTGATGATATTCTGTCAACGGATATTAAGTATTTTGTGTAGACAATTATTTATAAGTACTTGTCATATGTTGGTTATGGTTATGATAGTTGTGGAAGTTTAATTTCCGTACAGTAGAACTGTCTCGACGTTCGTATTGAAAATTCTCAGTTTGATGTTGGCTTGCGGACAATTGTGTTGAGTTGCCTATGTTGTTCAACTGTAGGAATGTTGTCTTTGCTTTGCCAATACTCGTCTCTATGTCCACATCAGATCTTCCGTGTTCATCGATGATTCTGTTCACGTACGTTCAAGATTTCATCTGTTTGTTGAGACCTACTGATGTAGAGGCTTCTGCGTATGAACCTATTGTTAGTCACCGACTACCATGGGACTGCATCTCCTTACGATGCTCCACTGCCTTGTGCATTAGACTTTCAGGTCAAAGGCTTGAGGTGTGGCCTCTTAAGAAAACCACCTGCTTCGGTTTGGGCACCCGGGCAGTATCCCAGCTCTCACACAAATCGAATGATTTGTGTGGCGCATATCTGTTTGATGCCTCCTTGTACCAATGTTAATGTGTTTAAATAAAAATATAGCCTTATCGTAAAAGTTACTATCATGACAAACCTTTTTCACTGATAAATTTAAATATCTTTTTTAACATCAAATAAATAACTCTGTAACCCTTTTGTTGAACTGATGGTTTTTTAATATCTTGCCTTCATTATATACAAAAACTGACAAGAACATTATACATTCTTTGTATTTTAATTATTGAATAATGTAAAGAGTAATTATTATTACACCAGAGAAATACCAAATTATTCATGCAAAACAAAATGATGGTTTTTAGAAAAGTTCAAACTAGAAAATCATACAGAAAACAACAAAGAATAATAGGTGTTAGTGTTATAAGACTATGCAAGAATCTGGTCATACAGATTTTTAGTTATGGAATATAAAACTAAATTAGATTTGGCATCGACTTTCATTACAAATTGTATCTTAAGTTACTGATCAACAAAATATGATTATAAACTAAACATCTTCTGTTCTAGTGAGCCATACCGTTAGTAGTTCATCTATGTCCTTGTTCGAAAAAATCCCAACGTCGGTAAATAATACTTGGATAAGAACAAGCTTGGATGAAAGAAGTAAAATTAGGTAAGTCATCACAGCCTCCGCTTCACAGTTTTAATACTCCACATAACATGTGATATATGTTTTAGCTAATTATACGCTATTGTACCCATGTATTAACTACAAAATACTGTTATCGAGCGCCAATACTCCTAGGTAATTAATGACTGAAACACAGAGTTATTGGATATTCTTAGCTCTGAAAGGAATCTTCGGAAATGTACAAAAGTGACTTAAATTAACACATATTACTTTGGTTACAAGTGATCTTAATCGCTCTTATATTAGCATGCCGATTTCTCCACAATACCTGTGGATTACGAGATTACTAATTCATTTACGTTTGGTTCAAAAGAATGAGTGGAATGTAGTTAGCACTGGAATACGGGATGGCAGTTCTGACTTAATAGTCACCCGTCAGATGGGTCCTAGAGTTTATAATCACTCCGAAATTCCGACTCAGTGCCTTCGGCTTCAAATGTTTAACGTTTTATTCATTCAGCTGCTGAGTTTAGGTAGTTACTCGCTTGCGCAACGGGGTGTGAGTTTTTATTCAGTTTGTGCTGTATCTGTTATAAAAGCATTATCAAATCGATTGAAACACGAGTACTACTTTTCACTGCTAACCACATTCTATCTATTCTATTAAAAAGACTTGCAACATAATGGCTATATCGAGGTAATCCTAACAGGACTCACAAATCCTAACTGATCGAAATTCAGCCGAACTGTCATCAATAGATAATTTCGCCTGTAGCTCTTCTAGGGTCACTGTCGATCACAAGATCGAGTAAAAAGGAGAGTGAGTAGGATTCCCCTGGCAGTGGTTGTATGCACGTGGCCACTTGAGAGCATTTCGAGAAGAAGAGCTAACACTCCACAATCTCTGCCGTACCAGGGTATTTGGGGGCAATTAGCCTATAACAAATATTGTATTCTTTTGGTAAATCCATGTCAAAAATTATCTACTGTTTATTAATAAGTAGCCTCTAAAATGGAAATGGAAAGCAATAAGCGCGGACGTCATTTGAATTTGGGGTGAAACGATTAACCACCCGTTATCATATATGCCATCCAAGCTATACTGAATGAAGCCACAAACCCTTTTTTTCGCAAATGATCAGTTCGTTGTGGTCATCAAAACACTTAAGACATAGGTGTTTTAAGTTTGGCTCTGTGTAGGTCAGTACTTTCATTTAATCACCAAAAGTCAATAAAGAGCGAGGATTTGTTCAGTGCTAACCCGTTTCAGCTGGATCTCAAGCTGATATTAACTTAGTAGTAAATTGAGAATAAAGATTTAAGTTAGTTTTTCTCGTAATATGAGAAACAAACATAATTTTAATCTTATTTACATTTGTGAAGATTATAACACATTTCAACTACCATTTTTAATAATTTGTGTTAAGAGAAGCTCATGTTTATACTTTCAGTGAATGTATTAACCTACTCACAGATATTTTTCGCCTTAATTCACCATTCAGCAAACCTGTTACCAGACTATTGCTGTAAAAAAGATACTACTAACAGAATTTCTGATGGTATGAAACTTTTATACTAAAGTAGAAAGTATGGTGTATTGATCTCTTGTGAATCTTGTTAAAAAAAAAATGATTGTCGACAGAAAAGTTGGTCTTGACAACCTAGAATTATTGTTTAATTGAATGTCTAACAAATATTAATACTCTTTTGAATATCGACTACAAATGTATTTAAAGGTTAATCGAGTAAGGCATGCTCAGTTAATAAATATTCCTAAATTTGAAAAGACTACTCGTCGTGTTACGGTGCTAAAGATTAACATGGTTTGTAGATACATACAGAATAACAACTGAACTAATGAAAAGTTGCACCTGATATAAATCTTTTTTATCTCATGTCAACCAATCGCTTCTTCGGATTGTTACGGCAAGTAAAGTAACTGGTAAGCAGTGCTGAAGACGTTCGGAAGGTGGCGGCTTACATGAATAAAAATAGTATTACGGTAATATAAATTTAACATTCACACCAAGCTCATCATAATTGAAAAATCTTTTATACTTCCACCCCATACACCCTGACATCTGAAGTCCAACAATATTACTTATTGACAAAATGATATAATCGATCGTTGTTGTTTTAAAATGAATATAAATGCCAACAATTCGTAGCAAAATTACCTTTTCCATAACAATGAACTATAGGAAACGCACATCTTCAAGTTGTGCTCCTAGTTTGAACGTAGTCAAAACTGCAGAAAACCTATTACTGAGAATGGTGTTTGTAGTAGCATTTTCCTCTCTTGGTGCGCTAGACATTTTTGTCTACGAAATAATAGTCGCTACTTAGCTTAAATGCTCATCTTTGTAACTTGTAGCTTTGTATTTAGTATTTAGACAGTAACTAATAAATTCTACCAAAAGCTATGCCAGGTGTCCTAATTTTAGTGGTGCCAGATGATATTAACATTGTGAAGAACAGTTTTCTCGTGAGTATTGTGCCTGAGTGTATTTAAACCCATCATAATGTCAAAATCCTGTAACAGACAAATTAAATTAGATCAGCTGCTTCATAATGCCTCAAATAATTTTGATGCAAAAATGAAAGTTTCTTATTGACTTCTTAATCGTTCAATGTTTGAGATTCATTATTACTAAGGATAAAAAAACTGGCTTGAAATTCAGCACGATTGATGCTTTGAGTTCAAATTTAACACACACTGAGCATTATGAATAATTCATTTAATAACTTAGTAATTCCATTCTCCAATAAGATATGTTCACTTAAAATAAGGTATGAACATAAGAATAGTGATCAATTATGTACTGATGTTTGTTAATTTTAAGTAAAAATAGTTCACTGTAAAGCTGGGTGACACGAGATCGAATCCATCAAAGAGAATCAGTTCCCTCAAGATTACAAGTACACTTTGCTGACAAGTGTCAAGTAACACAAAACCTAGGTGTAGGGTTTCCTGTTGACTACCACCAACCACCATCTTAGTTCACTTTCTACATTTCTATCGATTATATTTAGAAAAAACTAAATAGTATTATGATAGAATTTAATGAATTCTTTTAACTATTTTATATATATATAGGATAAGAAACAGATATACAGACAGGTATCATTACCAAGGTTTGACTTGATAATTTCGAATAAATTAAGCAGATAGATAGTTATAAATATATTAATCTATTTGTAATATCCCAATGAGTAGAAAAATTAGATTTTCTGATGTTTCGTGACTTAGTGTAGGCCACTTCTTCAGAGATAAGTTTACTATTGAGAAATAATTACTCATTTGCAGATATATCAGTTTGATTCGATTTAATTGATTTTATTTCCAGTTTTCTTGTAACTATAAATAAGCAAATAATGAGAATGCAAATTATTTATTTATTTTTTTAAAATGACCGAGAAAAGATAAACAAACAAAAAAGATAATTACATATTGATAAATGATTATTTTAATTATATCATACTGTCAATAATATACTGAAAAAACTCTTATATAATCTCAAAACTATGTTATACATGAACTATAGTCTAGTGTAAATATATTAATATATATGTAGTATCCTAATAAGTAGAAAAATTAGATTTTCTGACGTTTCGTGACTTGGTGTAAACCACTTCTTCAGAGAATAAATAACCAAATTAAAATTAATCTAAGTTTAAACTTGAGATAATACAATTTTATTTATTTATTTATAACAATTTACTCAATGTCCAATTTATTCGAAATTATATATCTATAGTCTATATAGTCTATCTATATAGTCTAGTGTTGTAGACAATATGACTTGATTCATTAAATTTCATTTGAAATGTTTTTTTATGTGAACCTTACCTGTAGAGCTGAATATGTTTTGTTAATATTAAGGTAATATATTCAAACCATTGCTTAGAAATATTATATCTTACGCAAGTTGTGATCAATATGGATTTTAATCAGTAAAATGTAGCATATCTTATTTCAAATAGGATAATATGCATTCAATAGATATCGTGAGATAAAGCTTAAATGTTTTGAGTCTAGACAATTTATAAATACCAACTTGGTTTTCAGTTATGGTCTTTTGTGGGATATTTAATCAGTCGGATTTTGAATGTGGCCAACTTGGTCTCGTGTGCTACGGTCGGGGATATTTTATCACTTAGTTTAATCACGACTTTCATATACCTCTTCATTATGTAAATTTTTTTAAGATGTTTTATTCTCTTATAATTGATCAAGTGGATAGATCCTCTATTATTTTTCCAACACTTTATTCGTATTCTAATTACACCCTGACTATTAAGGAGTTTCATTCAATTGTTTTATTTCTTGATAAATGACTTTCAATTACTTATCTATGAAACACACTATGAAAAAAATGAATCAGATAGCTCATTAATAAACTAATTATAAAATGAAAATATGACTAATTTCATAAAATTTAGTTCTGGCTAACCTTGATAATGCATTCAAAATATCTTTAGTTCTCTTTGCTTGTTTCGAATTAGCACCGAATGTGAATTGTTCAAGGTCAAGGCACTGTATTTATGTTATTTATTGAAAGTAAAGTAGATAAGAAATGAAGTTCTGTACAATGAAATAAATTTCTGAAGGATAAAAACTAATATATCATTTCATAAAACGTTTGCTTTATAAAGTATACTGTTTTTCTAATTAAGTAGTAACAGGTGAATTAACTTAGAAGTTTTTAATATCTAACATTAAGTGAAGCTTGTTCAGATTTTGTCAAAACAGGGGAAAAAAATTAATTGAAACGAAGCAAGGAAAGTTAAATTATTAAAATAAAATGATAAACAAATTTAGGGCTATAAAATAATGAATAGCAAGCGAATACACCTCACACTTACTACACTATCCTTTAACTACTTTTCAACAACCAATGAACCTGGAAAAATGTTTTCCACCTTTTCTATGGATGAAATCAACAATCATAAACTTTGTGAATATTTTGGCATTCTAAATATGTGCACTTCAACTACTGTTATTATTTTATTTCATGAAAGTTCATGGTGGTTTGGTATAATTCCTTAACAATGTAGTTTTACGATTTCATCAACTAACTCAGTTATTCTCTTTGCGGTAGTATCCTCACCACCAGGATTTTAATGGAGTTTTGTTCTCTGAGCTGGATGGTTTGGTTGTCGAGCTTTCCTCGTTCTTCTGAACGACATCATCAGTACAAACTTAAGATAGAAGTGAAGTGTTCGAATTTCTCCATATGCGTTTCACAGCTTGTTCTGTACACCTCGACGTTGATTGCTTCTTATTGACCTTAAATTTGTCATTGTTTACTTCTTTGTTTTGGTTGTCTCCCATTGGTTTGATTTTTGTTCCTATATTTGTGCATAATTTTCCTGATTGGTTGATAAATTGGGTTGATTTCAATGTACTTGCTGATTGACCTGAGTGCCAGGCTTCTAAAAATTCTCTGGTGTTTTTGGAATTTCCTCTGTCCAAGATTTCCAGTCGAATGAGTGTCCGCAGTTGTCTATGTGTGTTGATATAAGTGAGGAAGTATCATGGCGTTTGACTTCTAATTGATGTTCATATAGGCGAAGGTGAAGAGGCATCCGCTTTGTCCGATGTAGTGTTTTTCGCAGTTGGCACAATTTATTTTGTAGATGATGTTTGATTTATTTTCCTTTGTTATTTCATCCTTTGGTTTGCATAGGGTTGATTGTAGTGATTTTGTCGGTTTGTGTGCCACACCTATCCCGAAGGTTGTCAGCAGTCTCGTTGCGCTTTCTGATATGCCTTTTATGTATGGTAAGGCGATCGTTTTGTTGATTTCTGTGCTTGACTTAGGTTCTGATGCTGCGTGTGGTTGGTATTTCTTGGTGAAGTTGGTTGGGTAGCCGTTCTTTTGAAATACATCCTTCAGGTATTTCTTTTCATTTTTTCGTACTGCCAGTGTGCTGCAGTGTTTCCTCGCCCTTTTGAACAAAGTGTGTACGCAGTTGATTTTGTGAGCTCTTGGGTTGTTGCTACTGTAGTTGACAATTTGATCTGTATGGGTCGGTTTCCTATACACTTGAGTTTCCAGTTTTCCTGTGTCGGTTCTAGTGATCAATATATCCAAGAATGCTAGTTGGTTGTTTGACTCCTGTTCCATTGTGAACTTGATGTCATTGAAAACGTTGTTGATCAGTTTGTAAGTGTTTTCCAGTTCATTCTTTTTGACGATGACGAATGTGTCGTCCACGTAGCGAATCCAAATTTTTGGCTTGATCACTGGTAATATCGTGGCTTCTAGTCTTTGCATCACTGCCTCTGCGATCAGTCCTGATATTGGTGATCCTATTGGTGTCCCTTTCGTTTGTTCGAAGATTTTGTTGTTGAATTGAAAATATGTTGTTAAGCATAAGTCGGTGAGTTCCAGTAGACTTTGAATTTGAAGCTTCGTGTATTTAGTGAGATTTGTGTCGTTGTTGATCAGCAGGGATATAGTTTCTTTTGCTAACTGTGGTTCAATTGAGGTGAACAGTGCTGTTACGTCGAAGGATATCATGAGTTCGTCGTTGTTGATTTGAATATCCTTAATTTGGTCCAGGAATTGTGTTGGGGATTTGATTGAGTGTTTGGCTGAATCTAGTAGATGTCTCAGTATTCGTAAAATTTCTATTGACAAATTGTACGTTGACGTTCCGGGGAGTGCTACAATTGGACGTAGTGGAATGTTTGGTTTGTATATTTTCGGTCTGCCGAGGAATCGAGGGAGTACTGGTCCATTGGGTTTCATTCTTCATTGGTCTTGTTTTGTTATTTCTTCTGTTTGACTAACTTGTTTAAAGTCTTTGAGATTCGGTTGCCTAATTTTTTGACAGGATGTTTAACCCGATGTTTTCATTATATATGTATAGTGTTTTAAAAAGCAAGAGATTCAATATATCTTTATAATGGTATCTTTACATTGTGCACAATGCACTCGTTATGGGTACATGCAGAGTACGAACATTAGTAGTTACCTGAAACTCATGTCTTCCATTTAACATTCAGATGTCAAGCACGAATCAACCGTTAACAACTTGCTTCAATTACGTTAAAAATGACGTTAATGTTAGTATTTTCCTACATTTTGCTTGCGTTTTGTAAGTACATCCTCCCTAGTCATTTTTTGACCATTATTCAATATAATTGGTGACCCATAATTGTATTATATCCACTAAATACTATCAGTCACGTATCAGATTATCAAGCTGATTAATTATAAAACATTTCAAATAGCTAAGTTTTTTAGTCGTTCATCTTACTTCCTTTTTCTAGAAAAACATTGAACGTTCCATAGTTTAAATTTTCTGGTCAAAGAATATGGAATAATTAATGAATTCTCTAGATAAACTATTATTTCTACCAAGAATAAAATAGTGAATATTCAGGTCAAACTAAAGTATTTTGTACATACCATTTCAGCTTGATTAAATGCTTCAGCGAAATTTTCTTGAACCATGTTTATTGACAAGATTAGTTTATATGTCTTTATTACTTGTGTACTGTACATTCCAAATGTGTCTTCTTGAATATTTAAATTTTCTTCTAATAATTTTAAGGCTTCCTAAAATTACATAACTGAAATATTAATTCAAAAATAAAATTGGATTTCTTTTTACATCAATAAAAGTAGTAGTTACATAATAATAGTAATAATAATAGTTGTTATATCCTAGTGAAGATTACATTACGAGTCACGTCTGAGACCTATTAATGGACTAATATTATCTATATATTCTAACTAGATTATGTATATCTATATTCCCCTTGTTATAAGCTTTATTGTGACCTATATATTATTATTGTACGATTTACTGTTCTTAATCTATGTTCAGTTTATTGACTACTGCCTCTCACGTTCACAGTCACTTTTTGGCTTTATTGTGTACAAATGTTATTTCCTATTTTATGGTGCGTTGCGGCCTGTCTGTTTGATATATAAACCCAGTATGTCTGAAACAAATGATTCGATTAGATTCGGTTCACATAGTGGAAGCTGTATTAGTGTTCTGGACTCAAGTGGACGGGCTAGGTGAACATAGGACCAATAAGGACGCTAGGCTGCTCATACTGGTCGAACGTCATTGGTTTGGCACAGTGCTAAGATTGTATAAGTTGCATTTTGATTGGTGAACAAATCACGTGATAAAAAGCCGGACACAAAGTCATAACAATGATAATAATCATATAAATACCAAGAAAAATTCGCTTAATCCAGATGGTTCATCTCGATCGTAAAGGAAATAAAAACAGTTAACTATTTTTCATGATAAATTAAATTACAAAATTATATTCTAGTTTAGTGTTTATGCTTTTTTAACAAGGTCAAATCACAATTATCGATTAATTGTTTGTGCTTACATTCACTTCTGTTTCACATGGGATTGAGTAAGTGTTTTTTAGTAATGAATACGCAATAAACATCGTCCAAAAATTCATGAAGTAATTTACATCAAAGTACTAAAAATGTATACGAGTTGTTGCATAATGACGAGTAAACATTACAGATTTAAAGTGAATAAGAAGATGAAGATTATCAGAACTATATCATCTTATTACACTATTGAAACTTATCAAAGGGATTAATTGCTTTAAAGTGAATACTTATAAATTAAAAACTATACTTTGTATGTATTCGTTCTGAATATTCTCATTGAAAATAAAGTTATATACATGAATGAGAACAATATTCAGTAGTAACAGCATATCTTATTAAAATATGCTTTGTTCATGAATATGATCCAATAATGAAATTAATATTAATTCAGCTAAATTGTCAAGTTTCAAAATTAAGTTATTACAGTCATTCATTGATTAATCTTTGTTATTTAACACAATTACTCCATAACTGATAATTAGAATTTCTATACAAAACAGCTCTTAATATAAATTTTTGTAATATGAAATGATTGAGAAGAGATGTAGTTCAGAAGAATGTTCTGTTGGTGTTGTATTCTCTCAGTTAGATAGTTTGATTATGAAAATCCTATAGCCACTCTGAACAACATAAGTAATTTATTGTCCACTTGATTCAACGATAGTAGGACGATAATGATGTTAAAGAAATGTAAATACCTTACTTGTCGTACCATATATTCTGATGACTCAACAATTTTAAACCAAGGCTACGTCAAAAGTTGAAAAAAATGAATATATTAGATACACATATTTCATGCGTTTGTTTACAGATAGATGACTAGATGAACTACTCAACAAATAACAAGTGACTCACTATGAAAAGGGACAAGTACATAAACACATCTCTACTATCATACACATATTCTCAAGGTCACAAATATAAAGAACAAAATGACTAAAAAAAGAACAGAATAATCCATCTGTCCAAAGGTTGGAATAAATCACGTAGGCGTGTAAAAATACGGATTGTTAAAGTAGACTCTGATACTACAATGTTGTACAAACAAACCGTTACAGATTCACATAACACAACGTCAACAAAAGTACATGATATCAAAAAAAGTTAACCCCTTATTATTATGATGTGAATGTATGGTTTTCAGTTTCCTTCAGAAAAACCCTGAAACAATTTCATAATCTTTCGATTCTGTATCAGTTAGTTTAGATACAGTTTAGAACGCCTCAAATTGTTCTAAAACCTTTTTTAATAAGAATGAATTCAACATTTGAAATGCATCAGAACCAATACAGCTTCATGTCGATAGTATTATTCTCCATTTGTCTGAACAATCTATCATAACTTTATCGTGACAAAATAGTTTGTGAAGATTTGTTCAACAAATTTTAATGAATTGCAATATCAATGTACTTTATCGGTTCAGTGTTATTTAAACGTCATTAACAAATATTATATTCTTTTATTTACACATTTTTAATTATATACGAAGCCACTTGGATATTTTGTTTATAACTACTCCATCTGGAAATTCTTAACTTCTACTAACTCTTCATTAAACTAGTTGGACACTGAATTAGCGATCGAATAACTAAATGGAACATCTGGAGTATTGTTGAATATAAGCTAAGATTAAAAGTAGAGATCAACATGAGGAATCATACTGTGAACTATTACACAGATAACATACACAGTAATTTTGATTACTTGAGCACCTTCAAAACATGTCTTGGCGAGTTAACGTACCAGTGATGTTCATAAGACCCGGAAAAATGAGATTATCTCCATAAAGTTACTTTAGTCATCGCAACATTTGACATTCCTACTACAATTTTGGAGCTATATGACTTCATTCATTAATAAGATGCTCTACAGTAACTATAAAAAGTACTACCTGTTGTCTAATCCAAATAATAAAACGTCTCGGCGAAAACACCATCTACAAATGTAATTTCGTTTATTTAGTAAATGCTTTGTAATAATGTAAAAGAATCTTGGCTTAGATATATGTTTTTGGTTTTGTTATGTTCTCTGAGCTGGTTTTCAATGTTGTTTTACAACAGGTCATCAGGACTCACTTCAAATGGAAGTGTTGTGTTTAATTAGTCCATAAGTGTTGAATCAACCGGTTGCTATGACAATTCTAGATCAATAAAATTCAAAGAATTGAAGAGAATTTATGTGATCATGGTACTTACGTCAGCCTGTGATGAAAAAGCAGATTGATATAGACTCTGTTAACCAACCTACTCTGTATGGATCAACTAATTACGTGCAAAGAAGTAAAAAACGAAGCTCAATAAGGACATAGACATAAATAATTCTGGCAAAAATTCTGAATTCAACCATCCACTGACAACGTCATTAAAACCAGATAGCTCAACAATTATGGTTGACTTTTACATGAAGTAAGCCGTTGAGAATGTTGTTTAAGATCATGATAGAAGCTTCGCGATTGAACCATTTAGTTCAGAAAGACAAAATTACCATAACAAGGTGTATTTCTCTTTTGAATCAATTTAACCGAAAAAGTTAGTGTTATAAACGGGATAATATTTCGGATTGTATTTATTGTCCAAAACTATTTTAAGTAATCAAAGCCAACAGAATACAGTTAGTAATTAATGATTTTTAAATAGTAATTCATACAATACTATCTTATTGATTCACTCATTAAATGAGATTATAGAATCCGATTATCAGTTAAACCACAGTTTTCCTCCAATTACTAAATATTCTCAATAGATTTTATATGAAAAAGATAACATGTGACTTTTGATTTTACTTTGTCTTGCAAGTCATTGATCTTTGTAGTAAACAAATCCATTTCAAAATAAAATGATTGAATATTACATTCAAACTACTAACTAGAATTTCACTTTCTCACATCGCTTATTAGTTGATAAGTTATATTGTGAAAAACAATTGGGGAAGACTTATCTTTAAAGTCAATGAAATGCTGTTTCCTTTAAAAGAAATATTCATCGATATTCATGAATTGGCGAAATAAAAATGAACAATTAATGTAACAATTAATAGTCTCTTTGATTAAGATCATGAATCGATTGATATTAGATCACCATTGAAAACCTGAAAGCACTGGATGGTTTTCAATGTGGTCTAACATCAATCGGTTCATGATCTTAATCAAAAATTTAATAATATCCACAACACTATACTGATAATTAATAATTTGTAGTGAAATTTCTTTTAACCACATTAAATTCATCTTGAATATGATCAAGAATTTCAAATACATCAACTTTAAAATGTAAATTCAACGTGATATGCATATTCCAACATTGAAAATGATACTATATTATGATATGAAATTGGATTGACTTACTTGGAAACGATTTGATTCTATATAAATTTTTATTAGTAGTGAACGTAATGAACAAATTAAATTTACAAAATATTCATCAGAGTATTCATAAATCGAATTCAAACATTGATCTGTTAGACATTTGATATGATGATTATCGTTATCTAGTGAACTAGTTTTTATTCTCATTAGATCGACAGATTCATTTGAATTATTATCAACATGATATTCAATGGAGTTTTGATTGTTTTTTTCATTATAAGTATTTAACATTTGTAACATTTCACCAAGGAGATGTTCAGCTGTTAATTATAAGAAATACAAATCTATATGATATGAATATAGAAAATCATACTGTTAATCAGAATATTATCCTCAGAAACTATCTAATATGTGTATCTATTCAACTTTAGAAAATATTTCTGGCCGATATATACTGCATAAAAATGCCTGTAAAAGTGGTGTTTTAATCAAAAGATTTATTGTTAACTTTACCAAGTAAAGGAAATTATTAGGGTATAGGAATAGATAACTCCGACTGGAGTCCCTCCGGGGGCTACTGCTGGTCCCAAGCCCGGATAAAGGAGGAGGGTTGGGTATGGGATTAGCGACCTCATCCCGTAGAAAACTAACTCGCTAAAAAAACGCTAACCAGAAAAAAATATTCAAACCTTTTAAACTTTGCCCTGGGAGTCTGAAGGTCTTCATTTAGAAGAACTATGACGCCTCTTGACGGAATCCGAGTTCCTTCGGAAGTCACGAAGCCGATGCTCCTTCTGACAACCAGAGCAACCAGTCATTTACGTACAAGGAATACCCGTACAATGTGGGAGACCGTGAGAGTCTTCCAAGTTGCTGCAGAAACGAGGAGATACAACCGAGGGGTGCTTGGGATCAGTGAAATACGTTGGACGAAAGTTGGACAATAACGCCTAGCTTCAGGAGAGCTTCTGATAAACTCCGGCCATGATGAAGAAAATGCCCCACATACACAAGGAGTTGCATTGATGCTCTCCAAACAAGCACAAAATGCACTTATAGGATGGGAATCTCATGGACCAAGGATCATCAAAGCCTCGTTCAAAACAAAGAGCGTAATCCAATGCTATGCGCCAACCAACGACCACAATGAAGACGCTAAAGATCAATTCTACAATAGGCTGCAGTCAATCGTCGAGAAGTGCCCAACAAAGGACCTGACCATTCTGATGGGAGGTTTAAATGCCAAGGTTGGGATAGACAACACCGGATATGAAGACATCATGGGACGACACGGACTGGAAGAAAGGAACGAAAATGATGAGAGATTTGCAAACCTATGTGCCTTCAATAAACTGGTCATAGGCGGAACTATATTTCCACATAAACGCATTAACAAAACCACATGGACTTCACCGGATCACACTACACACAACCAAATCGACCATATCTGCATCAACAAAATTTCTGGAGGACGTGAGGATGTGAGAACAAAGAGGGGAGTTGTTATAGCCTCAGATCATCACTTGCTGGTGTCGAAGATGAAATTGAAACTCAAGAAGTACTGAACAACGGGACGGATAATACCACAAAAGTTCAATACGGCCTTTCTTCGGGATACTGACAAACTCAACAAATTCAAGATAGTCCTCAGCAATAGGTTCCAAGCCTTTCATGATCTACTCAATGGGAAAGGAACTACTGTGGAGAGCAACTGGAAGGGGATCGAAGAGGCAATCACTTCAACATGCCATGAGGTTCTGGGCCACAGGAAGCACCATCACAAGGGATGGATCACTGTTGATACACTGAATAAGATTCAAGAAAGGACGAACAAGAAAGCGGCAATCAATACCAGCCGAACAAGAGCAGAAAAAGCCAAGGCACAAGCTGAATACACAGAAGTAAACAAGCAAGTGAAGAGTTGCATCAGAACTGAAAAACGTAAATATTTGAAATATTCCCATATTGTAAATTTAGAGCAACATATATAAGCGAACAATATTGTTTTCGATTAGATCCTCATCAGGCTTTACTGTAATATACAGTAATATTTGTATGCATATACGAAATCATTAAACCAATCAAGGTAGTTTACAAGTCAATGATAACAATGAAAACGATTACATAATAAGTGAAACTAGAGCAGTAAGGGGAACGTTTAATGCTGCCAACCTCTGCCTATCGTATTCGACCCGATCGATGGTGATTCCGCAATTGAAGGATAAGTTACCTGGTTATGCCACTTCTATGTGTATCTACGAATTCAGCTGCTCCTGTGGAGAAAGCTATATTGGGCGCACTACCAGGCAACTGAACCAACGAGTTAGTGAACACCTCCCTTCGTGGTTAGGAAAAGGTTACGTCAAAACAATACGCAGCTCGGTTCTATCACAATTGATCGATAGCGGTCATATAGTGGACAGAAACAAGTCGTTCAAAGTTATTTATCGTATTCCCACTAGTTTCCCTTATGGTGTTCGACCTCGTCTCTTACACATAGCAGAAGCTATAGGAATCCGAGCCAACAAGCCAAGTCTTTGTGTTCAGAAGAAATTTGTAACGCCCTTATCTCTCCCCTGGCCTTAAGTAGTAAATGAATTTATTTATTCTTTTTCAAACTTTCTCTTCGTTTATTATTTTTCTTCACACCCTCCTACCACTTTATTCTCTCTCAACTATACGTTTCATGGTCCAATTATCTGAACATTTCTTATTACGTCATCTTATAATTTTATAATTGTTATCTCAGTTTCTATATTTTTCTAATCATTGACCTATTTCCGATTATGTAACATTGATTTGAGCCTTTATTATTCTTATCAAAACTAATGCACCTGTTGTCACACCATCAATTTGTACTTTTCACGTTTCATTTATTATGTAATCGTTTTCATTGTTATCATTGACTTGTAAACTACCTTGATTGATTTAATAATTTCGTATATGCATATAAATGTTACTGTATATTAGAGTAAAGCCTGATGAGGATCTAATCGAAAACAATACTGTTCGCTTATATATGTTGTCCTAAACGTAAATATGTGGAAGATTTAGCAATGATGGCGGAAAAGACTGCAAGAGAAGGAAACATGAGACAACTGTATGACACGACAAAGAACTCTCAGGAAATCACCGTAAACCGGAGTGACCAGTGAAAAGCAAGGAAGGCAAGGTAATCACCAACATTGAAGAGCAACAAAACAGGTGGGTAGAACACTTGAATGAACTCTTGAATCGACCAGCTTCACTGAACCCACCCAACATCGAAGCAACACCCACGGACCTCCCATTCACTGTTGGCCCACCAACAATTGAAGAAATCAGCATGGCCATCAGACAAATCAAGAGTGGCAAAGCAGCAGGACCGGACAACATTCCAGCAGAGGCACTGAAAGCAGACGTGGCGGCAACTGCAAGGATACTCTACATTCTCTTCAATAAGATTTGGGATGAGGAACAAGTACCAACAGACTGGAAAGAAGGACTTCTGATCAAAATACCAAAGAAAGGCGATCTCAGCAACTGTGATAACTACAGGGGCATCACACTTCTCTCAATACCGGGAAAACTCTTCAACAGGGTATTGTTAAACAGAATGAAGGACTGCGTAGACGCCCAACTTCGTGACCAACAGGCAGAATTCCGTAAGGATAGATCGTGTACAGACCAAATCGCAACTCTACGGATCATTGTGGAACAATCAATTGAATGGAATTCATCACTCTACATCAACTTCATTGACTACGAAAAAGCATTTGACAGCGTGGACAGAACAACACTATGGAAGCTTCTTCGACACTACGGCATGCCTGAGAAGATAGTCAATATCATACAGAGTTCATATGGTGGATTAAACTGCAAAATCGTGCATGGAGGACAGGTCACAGACTCGTTCGAAGAAAAGACTGGTGTCAGGCAAGGTTTCTCACTCTCACACTTTCTCTTTCTCCTGGTGGTCGACTGGATCATGAAGACGTCAACATCTGAAGGGAAACACAGGATACAGTGGACATCTAGGGTGCAGTTGGACGATTTAGACTTCGCAGACGATCTGGTCCTTCTATTGCACACGCAACAACAAATGCAGGAAAAGACGACTAGTGTAGCATCAGCCTCAGCAGCAGTAGGTCTCAATATACACAAAGGGAAAAGTAAGATTCTCCAATACAACACAGCATGCACCAATCCAATCAGTCGACGGAGAAGATTTGGAAGCTGTACAAACCTTTACATATCTGGGCAGTATCATTGATGAACACTGTGGGTCTCATGTAGATGTGAAGGCGCGGATCGGTAAAGCAAGAGCAGCATATTTACAATTGAAGATCATCTGGAATTCAACACAACTGTCAACCAACACAAAGGTCAGGATTTTCAATACAAATGTCAAGACAGTTCTCTTGTTTAGGGCGGAAACCTGGAGAACTACCACTACCATCATCCAGAAGAAACAAGTGTTTATTAACAGCTTTCTACACAAAATACTTCAGATTCGTTGGCCGGACACAATTAGCAACAACGTACTGTGGGAGAGAACAAACCAGATCGCAGTGGAGGAAGAAATTAGGAAGGAGCGATGGAAGTGGATAGGACACACATTGAGGAGAGCACCCAACTGAGTCACAGGACAAGCCGTCACATGAAATCCTCAAGGCCAAGGGAGGAGAGGAAGGCCAAAGAACACATTACGCCGGGAAATGGAGATAGACATGAGCAGAATGAACAAGAATTGGATGGAACTAGAAAAGAAGGCCCAGGACAGAGTGGGTTGGAGAATGCTGGTCGGCGGCCTATGCTCCATTAGGAGTTACAGGCGTAAGCAAAGAAAGTAACAGGAATAGATAATCTATTCATTAGATGAAAATGACATGTTCTGCCTACAAGTCGCCAGAATATATTTTATTACTGAGATTTTCCAGTTGATGAATTTTTGTGAACAAACCTATAATAAATAATATTTAGATCTGTTATTATCATAATTTATTTCGTTCTAATGACTACTGTTAAAGGTTAATGGAAAATCTTCCGTACACTGAATCAAAATTTATCTTGTTCACTTACACGTTGATGACACGAATGAATAAGCTTATCTGTTTTATTTAAAATGTTTGACAGATTCTTTTTAGCATCACTTAACGAAAAGATAAAAATAATACGTTTTAGTAATATGATAAAGGTACAAATGATGAATGACTGAGTACTGTCAGTAAGCCAAAACTTAGTGTTTAGTATTGCATTAAATTACCTTCTAATTACTACATATCTAACGAAATAAGAGGGGGATTAAATCTTTCTAACATCAAACAGAAATTACATATAAAACATTTCTGTTACTCATTTGGATCTCTTTAAAACACCTACTTAATCCAAATATAGTGGACTGTAATCCTTACTCTAAAAGGATGTTATAATAATTGAATAGTTTGAAATCTACACAAGTTGATTAACAAAGAACACCTAACTATAAATAAAACACATTATTTCTTTGATAATACAACATATTAATACACATTTTATTGATACTACCAATATTTCAATGTTAAATCAGTACAAAGACGAAATTTAGTATCCTCTAATTAAATGTATGACATTTTATGTTCTAAATCAGAATTTATAAAAAATTTCGTCAAAATTTAAACAAAATAGTTTCACAATAATTGAGCGTCGATTTAATGTAAGACATAATAAAAGAAAATCATATTTGTAAAAATCTCAGTAATTAAACTTTAAGTAAATCCAACGTTTGACTCGGTAATCTGATTCAAGCTTTTACACGAAAATATAATCAATCATCAAAACTATCGATAATCGAAAAACCTCGGATCAGATTGCTAAGAGAAAAGTTGAATTTAGTTCAAGTTTTGTTCGCTGGTACTTTTCTAAATATTGTTTTCTTCTTTAATATCTCAATCAGAATGAATGAGGAATATTATTTCAGTATGGCTTGTTTCATACTAATCACAATAACTATATATATATATATATATATATATATATATATATATATATATATATATATATATATATATATATATATATATACTACAATACAAACATTTAATGTTTCCTGAAAAAAAGAAATTATAAAATAGAATATTTATTGGCATATATTTTCTATTACAAACATAATATATCTAAATAAAATAAGCAGATTATGTAATATTATTCAGCACTGCATGTTACTCACTATCATCCAAATTTAAATTGAGTTTCATGTAAACTGTACACAGTAGATAAACTGAACGAATAAGGTCAACCATGGAACTGAAACTTTCTTCTTTGTAGTAACTATATGTATTTTTCAGAATAATAAAACCATATTATCATGATTATAAAAAATTATTGACTAAGTTATAAAGAACACATTGGAAATGATTGAGTAATAAATAAGTCTGAATAAGAATTTAACATTACGTTCCTATTCTTGTAATTTTCACATTGTCTTAAAATATGTTTTAATGAGCTGTGTAAAGTGTTTTGCTAAGTGTAGTTATTGTTAAAGGTTTAAAAAAAATAATCCAACGCCAAAAAATCAGCTTTTAATTTATCACAATCCCCATCAAAGTAAAAATTCTCAAAGAAATGAACAGAATGAATAAGTGAAAGAAAATAATCTCAATAATGATAGAAAATTTAACATTGATAAAACTTTAAAATAGGAAATACAAAATCAAGGGGATGAACAGTCAAAAGTAATACTTTATTCAAAATAGTGTTCATTAATTTAATTTTGAATAATGTTGGGGTATGTTATATAATTTTTTTAAACTAGAAACATGCATAACCCATTTCCCCAAATACTTAGAATAATGAATGTGTCGGAAATGACAAACTGTTTTACAAAATTTACCTAGAACTCTATAATCAATGTTATTCGTTGTCAGTCAGGTGCTCCCTGAATATATATTCCAGATTTTATATCTAGCCGTGTTCGATGGTGTAGTTTCCTAAAAATTACTTTATAAAATTCCATACAGTTATAGTTATTAAGTATTTGTTAGCCCGACACTATCGAGCAGAATTTTCTACAACTGTACAATGATGGACTGAATGACATATTTGGAATGATGCAGATCTAAGCATAGTACATGCTTAGACCGTCCAAATTAACAAGTATTGGTAGTATCAGTGTTGTGTGACTCAGTTGTTTGCCAAAAAGATAGTGAACGATATCAGACGAGTTACAACAGTTTCCATTCATATTTCAAAATCGTAAAGCAACTCAGAATGATCTTCCAGTCTATAAGTTTATCTCTCAACATTCAATTTGATATCCTGCTAGTATGTCGAATATGTAAAATATTCGGAAATATGAAACAAGCCTTTTTATATCTATGTTGACATGAAAAAAATATAAAGATTGAGGTAAAATAAATATTTACAAAGTTGAGCCAACTTACCAGGAATATTTTCAAGAGAAAAATATAGCTAGCTATCCCACCTAATAAATGAAAATAAAAGAACTCACATTTTGTTAGAAATTTCATAGGCTTTTTTAAAATAGTCTATAGATTTTTCCATATCATCCTCACTACTTTGATATTCAATCTGGAAAAAAACAAGAAAACTATAGGACAAAATTCATCGAATATAAATAGATCAATTTCAAAATGATTAAATTCTATATAATTAATCAAGATTTGAATAATTATGTATACCTATTTTTTAAATCTATTTTCTATATAAGTATAGATGGATAGTGGCTAGCAGTGGGATTCAGGACACGCGTTTCATCCCATTTGGAACTCGTTAGCTGGATGCAGGGAAGCAGGTACATTTAGCTGATGAGTCTCAAATAGGAAGAAACGCGCGTCCAGGATTCCACTACTAGCTGCTATCCGTCTTTGCTTAGAATACTTGTGAATCAATGCAATATCGAGGCAATACGCACATATGCCAATAAGAGACTGATCAATTACAGTCCTTAACGTTCAAACAATCAGTACCGAAATGAATTATTTTCTATACAGTTTACAGAAATGTAGAGAATAGTATATTTGAATTTCGGTTCATAGTGAAATCAGGGAAGAAGTGTGTATCTTCAGTTTAATTTCAAATCCTAGTTTGGAATATACTCGAACTTATGACTAAGATCAGTTTCGAAGCAATCTTCTCATGATGCCCATTCACCAAGATAGATTGATCATTTGTGATGCTTAATAGAAACGGTAGGAAAATTGAAACCTGTTAATATAAGTAAAGGGATTTTTAGACAATATAGAATAACAAATCAATTGTTTATACTTCAATTAAATTGCTTTTCCTGGTTGGTGTATATATAGAGAGTTAATTTTTTACTGGATCTAAAGCAAGACAATATACGAACGGGCTAAAAAATATTTTCAAGTCTATGCATTTCCTGACAAGGACGATGTTTTACATATTCACTGTCAAAATGATATCATTTATTGACTTAAAAAAGGATTATTAGGGATCTAAGTTTGATTTTTTTCCTACTAACTCTAGTTTGTACCATTATCTCTTCAGTAAATATGTGATAAGTCCCAATTATTAGAATAAATAGAAATGCGTAATCAAGATAACAAACGATATTTATATGAAGCCACACAAATTATATGTACGATTTTAGATGTTTTAATTAAATCCACTCCATTTAAATATAATTTTAGCCCGACATTTCATACACAGAAGGAATACTTACATTTTAAGAGTTATCTATTACCAACAAGCTTAAATTTGTAGTTTTCTGTACCATAAATATATAGAACTTCAGTGAATTTTATGGTCGATTTGTGTATTTTTGAAAGACATGTACTGTATGTTAGAACCAATGACCATGATTAAATTTATGATTTTACAAGAACCAACTTTTTGGATTTCCAACTAATGATTTTACCTAGGTTACTTCGCAAAATTTCAAGTGATAAATGTCAGCCAACTATATTTCCAATCGACAATGTTTGTGCGTCATAAAAGGTCAGCAATTTATGTTCAAACAATCCGTAGTAAAATCTGGAATTGAGTTCAGCTGTCTCGAACCAAATGACCATACTAATTTGTGGAATAATACAGTAGATATTAAAAATCTGTATTTAAAACTCGTATGATTTGGTAGCAACAAGTTAAAACTTTCAATATTTTACAGATGATAATACTACTTTCTTGTGATTGACTGCGTAAGACATTGAAACTTAGATTTATCCTGAAATATGGTGGATCAACAAATTGTAGATACTAAACAAGTATTGGTAGCTGAAGAAGCTTTTGAGTGTTTATCTCGTTACAGTGAAGCAATCGAGATAATCAACGACTTATATGGCAGATGCTAACAAAGACGAACCAACAATCCACTTTCAATCAATACACTGAAATGTATAATGAAGGTCCTTGTAGCATAATTTAAATACATTTTCTGTGTTTTTAATTTTCCATCCTCGAAACTTTGATTTTCAGTAGATAAAGTGAGTTAGCATTATATTTCAATGCTACACAAGTGTTCATTTGCTAATGTACTGTTGAACTACTTTGTAAAGAATATGAAAACCGATTCACGAACCACTCATTTTTTACGATGACAAAGAAGAGATTTTACTTAAGACCAAGATTATGTTGTCACGTTTCCTAAACTGAAAGGTCTAAATACAAATCCCTATCAACTTCTTAATGTGAGATACCGTAATTAACTTGAATTAAATTCTAGTATGAGAGCAAATACTATACAACTGAACTATCAACATAACTTCTCTAAATAAACTGACTTTTTATCAAAACGAGTGAGTTGTTAATATCAAAACTAACACTTACATGAGCAAGTGCGTGATAAACTGATATCGTTTCTTTACTCTCTGGACCATATGTCTTCTCTATGAATTTCAATGCTTGCATATATTGATCAAAAGATACAACATATTTCTCACATTCAAATGCAATTCTAAATAAAGTACACATAATATTCATGAACATTAAAAAATGGTTCACAATGAAAAGCACTTGAATCAAATTCATTTATCGTAACTATCATCTTTTTTTCCTTATGCATTTGAACACATTTAGAAGGAAATAAATTTTTAGCCTATTTATTTCAAGCAAATATTGTAAATTATGTAAATTTTTAAAATTCGATCTTCTGGAAGAAAATAGCTAACTTAAGTCATGCGACATCTTATTTCTGTCAAATGTATTTAAACAAGAAATTCACAGATAACTGGCAAAAACAGAATTGCTAACACTGTCTAAATATAGTGATTGTGTTAACTATCAATATAGGATGGTAGAGATTATTGACTTTCATTGAAATCATGAACAGATCAATGTTTAGTTACCACTGAAAAGCCGTTTCCTCCTAATACAGGACTCTTCAGTAGTGTGCATCTACGATCCCTTACGAAGGAATCGAACCCAAGACCTTCCAAATTCCATATATAATTCGATAGTTCTAAAACAAGTATTAATTGTTTAAGTTTCCTCATCGGTCAAGTGACTACAATATTATAATAATGCATCTAATCTATACATAATTCATAGAAATAGTTTAAGTATAGTAAAATACTTACTTTCCATACAAACAATAAATGCAAACTTTTAAATTTTGCAAATTTGGATAAAAATTTTTATCTAATCTCATTAAAGTACAATGATTCCATTGTTGATAATATTTTTCTAAATATCTATCAAATTGTTTGGAATTATCTTCATAATTATCAATATTTTCTAAACTATTTTTAGATTTTTCAATTGAATCAATCAGCTGTTCAACTTTATTTAATGCCTTTTCAGCTTGTCTAATTGAACTGAACGCATCTTTTGTCCTGATAAAATAAATAAAGGTATATTAGGGTAAATAAATGAGAAGACTAAAGTTATAACAATGATGTGGTAAATTTATGGATTATATTTCGAACAATCTGATGACATGATACTTATTAAGACATTATACATGAAAAATAAAATGCAAACTAGACAAACTGGAAAGTAAAAAGAAACAAAGATAGTAATATAGTACGTTGTGTGAAAACTAAGTTGAATAATGAATCAGTATTACTAGCGTTGATTATGGGTTAGAATTAATTGTTTTTAAACACATAAAGAAAGATTTACTCTTCCTAAATCCAAACCTTCAATAAATGTTAGTATACGCGCTTAAACACTTATATGATAATATAAAGGCTGACTTAGTATCAACCTTGTAACCTTAAGATGTATAAATAGACTTTTCAATTTACCATTATTGTATACTTTAGAAATGTTCATAATTAATTCTTAGATGAGTAAAGAAATTTCACTAGAATATATGATCAGTGTAGAGTTGTGAAGATTGTTGGCTTTCATTGAAATCATGAACCGATCAATGTTAGACCCCTAATAAAAACCTGGAACTACTGGACATTAACACCGTTGGATGCTGGCTCAGTGGTATAAAGGTCATATACGTTCGCGTGCGAGACCGGAGGTCTTGGATCTGAGTGCCGCGTACACAGTCATAGGCGTGCACTATTGAGGAATCCTATATTATGACATAACAGCCATTCGGTACCTACAGTTTGTCAGTGGTGGTCTAACATTGGTCGGTCCATGGTTTCAATGAAATATATGAAGCTAATCTAACTATTCAATAAAGTAATTATTTAGCAGAGATACAATAAAGGATACGATGACTAATTATCAGTAACCAGTGATTTATCTTTGATTTTGATGAACTTCTGTTTATTCAGATTGTAAGGTGAACAATACGTTAACTGACTCAAAATTACACACCAATCTAAATAGTTCACTGGTAAGGTTTTTAAATACCATACTTGGAGTTCCAATATGTAAATGAATATAAGTTCAGTTAAGTATAAAACTAAGGTTTATTGGTTTCTGATTAGTACCTCCGGATATTTAACATAGTTAGAAATGTCAAGCAATATGAATATGCTAATTTAATTAAGTCTATTCAGGAAGAATTCCAAATAAAATGATTGATAAGATATTGATTGTATGATTTTCACTTTATCAGTACAGGGATTGAAATATAAACATATTACTTGACTACATAATTTTCTCTCAAATATAGTACATTTAATAGATTTATTTACTTGAACTTTTAGAATTGATTTTACGTAAAACCAAGTTCTTATAACTACAGGATTCCATTTCCTAGTCCCAGATTTGAATTAACTACTTATTTGATTTAAGAAATCAATGAGTTTTACAATTATTATTCAGCACTCGAAGTTGCGGAAGATTATAGTAAAAAGTGATTCGGTTTATTATTCAAAATCTTTTAGATGAGAAAAGAATATTTTAAAACTGAAACTACTGATTATGAAATAATTGAATTGTTTCACTTTTAAGGCATTATTTAAGAGTAATTTTCGCGAGAAACTGATATTAGTTAACAACCACCGTCGTTTATGTACAGTACTAAACACAGTTTGGTTATTAATTTTGGATTATTAATCAGTCTCTACCCGATTACAACTCTATATGGAATTAAACAGAGGATTTTTAGAGTTTCTGGTGGTCAAAATAAAACGAGTAACGCTCAGATTCTACTAGCTCATAATATAAGGGATCCTACATCAAGATTATTTGTAAGTTACTGCTGTTTTTCTAACATTATAGACTCAAGAAAAAAAATCTCATTTGTATTAATAAGTTGACCACTTACTTTTTTAAAATTATTTTTGATTTTGCTAATGTATAATAATTCAGTAAAACTATACAAAGAATAAGTAAATTAGCATGATCATCAGAATTCTGTTGATTCATTTGCTGACTAGTAGAATTTAAATATAATGATAATAATTTCATGGAGTTTTCTGCATGGCTTTCAGCTTGTAAAGCATATTCTGAATAGAATAAAATAATTATTTATATAATGTAAATTAAAAATGCCAACAAATACGAAAAAAGGTAAATACATTGAAACATTAAACCGTTCTAACTTGATATAACCGTCTATAGAAAAGGAACATATAAATTATGTTTGGACAATGACAAAATTAAACAGGCAAGTGGACATGAAATACATAACCATATATCGTTTCTAATATCTTAAGGACTTCAGGTTAAAAATGACATTGACCCAAATCCCTGATACCAGTGAATAATAAATTTTGGCTTGTTTCGATGGACTGATGCGAATACAAATAAGTTTCCCAACTTCCTGTCTTTACATCTAAAATCATATGGTGAGACATGTTGCCTATGACCTATTTAACTCATTAGTACCAAGATCACAACATCATGAACCAGTCAACTTCACATTTTGGAATTCTATGTCAGATTTTACTCTTTATTCTATTATTTTGTGGCTACAGTTGACTAAACTCGTAATCAGAAAATTGTAATTTCATCTAGTCGTTCAATATCAAAGTACATAGACAACAGCCAAAAGGTAAAACTTTGCAGGGTGACATGTTGTGCTGTTTAAATAAGCTCTTGTAGTCTGTAAAGCATGAATATGTCAAGATTGGTAGTTAATCCTACAAATAACAAAACTGGTTGAGATTTAAAACCGTTTGACTTCATTTTGTCCTATAAATGCTAATATTTAAAATATTGTATTCATGATTATTGTAACTTATAAGAATGACTTTCATTCAAAACTTTTTTTATTTATTATCTAATAATTTAATGTGGAAAAGCAAGATTCTCCGATACAACACAGCATGCAGCAATCGAATCACACTTGACGGATAAGATTTGGAAGATGTAAAAACCTTTACTTATTCGGGCAGCATCATTCATGAAGACGGTTGATCTGACGCAGATGTGAAGGCGCGGATCGGCAAAGCAAGAGCAATATATCTATAATTGAAGAACATCTGGAACTCAAAACAACTGTACACAAGCCAACACCAAGGTCAGAATTTTCAATACAAATGTCAAGACAGTTCTAATGTATGGGGCAGGAACCTGGAGAACTACAAAAGCCATCATCCAGAAGATATAAGTGTTTAGTAACAGTTGTCTACGCAAAGTACTTCTGATCCGTTGGCCGGACACTATTAGCAACAACCTAATGTGAGAGAGGACAAACTAGATTTGAGCAGAGGAAGAAATCAGGAGGAAGCGCTGGACGTGGATAGGACACACATTGAGGAAAGCACCGAACTGCATCACAAGGCAAGTCTCTAGATGGAATCCTAAAGGCCAAAGGAAAAGGGGAAGATCAAAGAACACATTACGACGAGAAATGGAGACAGACACGAGAAGAATGAGCAACACTTGGATAAAATTAGAAAGGAAGGACCAGGACAGAGTGGGTTGGAGATTGTTGGTTGGCGGCCTATGCTCTCCAATGGAGGTAACAGGCGTAAATAAGTAACAATTTAATGTTAATTTTCTAGAATTTCAACAACAATAACAAAATAACTCACTTTCACCTTTCCAATTAATATAAAAATAACCAAAACAACATTGATATTGAGCATGATGCCAATCATCTATTTCATAAATCATTCTACTAAATGCAATACATTTACATAACATTTGAAATATAGAATTATCCTTCTAAAATAAAATTTAATTATTAATAATTTTTATTTGTTATTTTTGAATTACATTTAAACAATTTAAAATAGATTCATTTATCATTGTTTCATTTTTTATTAATTGTTCATTAGGTGTTTGTAAAATATTGACATTCTTTTGCATTATACCCTATAAATAATATTAGTAGTATATCATCAAAATTTAAGAATAACAATGTTTAAATCAACATTTTTTATCTTAACAGATAGTATGATAATCATTTAAAGTCTTAAAAAAACACAATATAAATCTCAGTTGATATGGTATTCTATAAGAAATGGGAAAAAATCAAGGTCACAAAATGTTAGAACATGTTATTTATTTTTTCTATTTGTTGTAAGACTGTTTTTCATTAGTTACTTAAATTCAACGAATGCTATCATAATAACTAAATACACTTTTATATTTCTTGTCTGAATATGTGGAAGCATTCGACTCTGATAATGATGGTATTTACGGTTAAATCTGATAGTATATGATTACATGATTTCATTGAAACATTTCTACATTTTCATCAGTTCATTGAATAATTTACTAAAATGTTTGGATAACAGCCATTTGGTAATTTTCTTATTTTAATAGTTGACATTAGTCTATCACGATTTAAATTACTAACTATTTCCTTACTTACTTCTATGATATTTGTGTTCTCGGTTTCCATCACAAATGTAAACAAAGAAAAAATGTTTTTTAGTCCAATGGTATATCAAAATTCCATGATATTTCTTAACATTCTTTTTAGTTATATTCAACCTGATCAAAGAATTTAAAATTTTTTTAGCAAAACTTATCACACATAAAACAAACAAATAAGATACCCGCTAAACAACAATAAAATATTTTAAAATATGAATTTGTAAGTAATTTACAACTGGGAACGTTTTGATGATGTTGTTAAAGTGGTAACCAAATATTGTAAATAATTCATATATTTTTGATACAACTATTGTATAACAGTTTACCCAATAACTTTCTTGTGTTTAGAAATAACTATACTTAATCAGTTGTTATATTGTATCATTTACATTCTAACTGTACACTTTTATTTTGTTTCCCTTCAAATAAGCCATTTTTATAAAGAATATTTTGGGAAGCAAATGAATAGTATAACTAAATGAAGATTACAATTATTTTTAATATATAGAAAAATGAATCAACGTTGCTTTCGATTCGAGAACTTTCAAGTTACTGTTACTGTTACCATACTTGTTTATATAATTTAAACAGCATTTGAAACTATATACAGGAAGTTGTAAATATTCATGGCTGAATCATTTTTTTCTATTTTATTGACTTTTACAAACCACAGAGAATCTAAGTTATTTGATAAGTCAGTATAAAATAAGAAAGTTGAATGATGAAAAGGTAGTATTAAACACAGGAAATCAGGCATACAAAATGATATGCTAACCAAAATATAAAAAAAGAAGAAAGGCAAATATATCTAGATAATGAAACTAATTTTAAGACTGTTATTGGAATGATTAACCTGATGAGTTATAAACCTGATATATATATATATATATATATATATATATATATATATATATATATATATATATATATATATAAATCCGGTTCATCAATTATGCCCTTTTAAGACTGAAATAAAATATCCAGTGTCATGTAGATATTAAGTCATTTGAAAATATTTTGCCGATCAGATATACAAAAAGAACCATGATTATTCCATTTTTCAAACAGCTTATGTCCTAAGTACGGATGCTGGAAAATGTTCATAATGATCATAATTGTTTTATTTTTCCGTCAGAGACAATTCCAACATTAAAGCTTTCGTGATATTTATATTTATCAATAAGATGTATGAATTAAATCCAGTAATAATGAGTTGATAGTATAGTGTATGCTACTTGTCTGTCAACATAAGTAGTTTGCAATATCAATCAGAAAAAGAATGTTTGGCATTAGAAGGTTGAGAAAATCGAATTGTAAAAAACAGGAATGTAACCAGAGAGCAATTTTAACAATGACTGTCATGAAGGTACGATGAAGTATGTAAGAGACAAATGATGGAAGATTTGCAAATTAAATATTTAATGTATGGTTTTCATATTTTATGAAAACATTCTGTAATTTTGTATGAAATCATAAAAATTGATCCTCCCCACCTGAGTTTTCGCTCACTGCAACAACATCAACTCTGTAATTGTTGTGCTAGCTAGCTAGCTTACTTACATATTTTAGTTTTAAAACTTTTGAACATATTAGTTAAATACCTTAATATAGCATTTCCATTTATTGACTTCTTCAACACTCTAGTTTTTAACTTCATAAGATTTTTTATTCATTATCATTCTTATTTTTGTTTTTTATATACGTTAATAGTTAACACGACATGAACTAGTTTTGACGTTCTAATACATAGAATAATTGGTTGCAGGACCGAGTGTTATTTTGATAGGTAATCTGCCTAATTATAGTTAGTAATGATTTTTGACTTGAAGATAAATGTAAATAAATAAAATAAATATTCTGAGTCTTATTAGCATTTTCGAAAAATCAACAATTAACTTCCTGTAATTCTAATAAGGGTATGAAGTATGAAACGATTTATACGATTCGGATAATAAAACCACCGTTTATTTGTGATGAAAATAACGCTTTTAAGCCATTGAAAATCCTGTGTATTACCTAACTCAATTCAATAACTTAGTGATTAGAATATATTTCAAGGTCTAAAATAGTTTTGACAGTGAAACTAAGTATAAACAACTCATTTATGAATTACTCATACATATGAGTTATTGAATTTGCTGGATCATTTAACATTTTACTCAACACTAGTTGAAAAAACTGATATTATAGGTATTTAAGTTTAGAAAGTGTTCGTTTATTCAGTCTTCATTTTTTTGAATTCATAAAAGAGAAACATTATTTGCCAAAAAAACAGAAGCCATTTGCAACCTCGTATATGTAGGTATGAAGCAAGAAAATTTTTATTGAAATTAGTAGTCAAGATAATAGAAAGCTACTGTACACGTGCTGGAAGAAATGATATCCCCAGCACTTAATAGTTTAAAGCTTAAAGGGTTTTAGAAGTCGGTAAATCACACCTCATTTTATGATGCTCTACGGTTTATAATACTGAAGTTATCCAGATGCACTTTTAGAATATTGAAAAATACTAACAAATTAAAGTTTTTAATATAATCACTGGTGGATTACGTTGAAAGTTTTAATTCTTTATTTTTAAACGATGTTTCATTAAGCCAACAGTTTTTAAAAGAGAATAGTTTGCACCCAATTTATAAAGTTATTGTTAGTCAAGTACTCCTATGATTCATCATTACGTAACTAGAATAAGAAAACACATGCCTGCGTCGGCGTTGAATGTCGCGGATGCTGGGTGAGCATCAGATGCAGATGGATCAGTGTGTCAACGGAGCTATCGAGGTCAGTGCGCCACAGACTGGACATTTTGACAGAGAGCGTGCACATACTGCAGAAAAGAAGTGGCATGGCGAGCAGAACCACTACAAGTACAACTGTTAAAGGGGAGAACGATTATTGTGTGTGCTACTAATGTCTACATATATAAGCAGTATGCATCACCAGTCAAATGTGAAATGTATGGCGGCAGAAGGTTGAGAAAGTCGAAGAGAAGAGAACGAGGACAGAGGGTGATTAGAGTGATCAGCGACATCATGGTGGCTGGCAATATGCATTGAAACGAATGAACATTAATCAAATGTGGATTACCGAACTCCTAACATCTAACCGGTCATCATTCAAAATTTATCGTCACAAGAGATCAAGGTATGAGAAAAGGAAACTTGTTGAAATACTTTATGCTGAGAATTCTATGTTGTACCAAAAATATAATGTTGAATAAAGCTTCTAATAATAAAATAATAAAATTTAAAAAAATGGAAACGAAGGAAAAACAATGTCAAGACAACTGATGGATATTTTGCAAATGAAGTATTCACTGTAAGGTTCTCAGATTTTACTAATAGATTCTGTAGTTTTACGTTTAAATACATTTAGTTGTCTCAACTCGTATTCCCATTCACTACAAAATTAGTGGTACTATATTAAAGCCATTAAAAACTTCTGCAGGTGGCCTGGGACCTTTAAATGTTAACTCTCACCAACTATGCATAAAGTAAGTGATTATTTAGTCCCAAACGCTTTTGCAGTTAGTAAGGTATAATGTTTGATCATCTACTTCTTGTATTCTGTACTAATGCATTACCATTCCCGTAAATCGTCCGTGCTTTTATATTCAAGTGGCTAAAATGTTTGAAAACTAATGACTAAATTCACCGGTTCTAAAATGTAAGCCTAAAGTTAGGTTCCAGGAGTAGTGGCCTCTTATACACTGGTCACAGTACTAGCTACTAGCAAGTTGTCAACAGAACACCGTCTCTATGAGGTCAAGAACATAAAGACCTATGAGTAATTACATTCGAAGAACTAAAAATTATAATGGGTTGGCTTATAAAAGATCTCACAGGTTATGGTTACCTCTCAAAGACTTCAAAGACTTAAAAGAAGATAATTTCCGGGTTAATTGCCCAAGAATATGATACATAATCAAGGGTACTGCACCTAATTAGATAGTCCATATCTTACCAAATATGACACAGTTATACATGTTCAAATTGACTGTACTACATTAGTGGCAGACGTTTTCAACCTCTTCTATTAAGGGAGTTTAGAAAGCTTGAGTCTATCATTTATATCTTAATATAGAAAACGAAACCTTCGTATACTGACACAACGTACTATAACTGATAATCTTGGGGCCCAAGTGTATTATAATATTGTCTCTTACAAGACCGAAAATCTTCTATAATAATAAAAATGATCAAAAAATTAAAATTAAAATAAACTAAGGGTAGAATGCTGTTTTTTGCATACTATAGTTAGAACTTAGTACGTAAGCTAACTGGTTCAGGCTGCCATACTCCAGTAGCACAGAGAAACATTTTCAGGCCAAATCCCAGAATATTAGATGTAGTAACAGTATCAGTAGTAATGGGAAAGATTAGACATCAAACATACGATTCGAGAAAATATAAATTAATGACCATTGATTTAAAACCAAAACATGTTATGAGGAATTCAAAAGCTAAAAATTGCAGCGAAGACAAGAGTGGATGCATCTGAGCTATTGTAAATGATTTCGGGTGACGTCGTTTAATTTCTCTAACCATTTGTTATGATAATCACGCACTATAGTGTGTGATAATATGCCATTAGATACAAATGGTCTCAACGGGACTAGAAAGCTGCTACTCAGTCAAATACTTCACCACAAAATAAACAGCCCTCTAAGAAAATAATTTTCAGTCTTTATTTTGATGCAAAACACCCTAAACTAACGTTTTTCAGCGTAGTGAACTACAGCATAAACATATTGCGCCGGAAGCTTAATTTTAATAACTTCTATGTTTGAAGCAACATTATAACCATAACCGCCGGTTATAATTTTAACAAAATGTTCATTCAAATGTTTCTGGGAAGAATAGAACAAGCTTTTGCTCAATGTGCTTCCGTATCTAGTAACAATGGATCACTGATATCTCCAGGTAAGAACCCAGGTATGTTCAACGACAAAAGATAATATAAAATTAGCAAATTACAGCGAGATGCCGTCCCTCCTAAAGGACCTCTAGAGAGTCGCTTGGACTAGCTCATCTTGCATCGATCGGTGCTGGGACCAGCACCAACACGTATTGGAATTCCAGAATTCATTTGACTACTCTTAAGGAGGTGTGCTCACAGTCGTTCTGCCCAAAAATTTCTGGGTGTTACCCCTAAGGTTTGTGTTGGTGCTAAGTTCAAGTAAGTATTTAAAGGGGTTCCTGAAAACTGTTTAGGATGTTATAAGTCATAGGAACGTCACCTCTTATATGCGCCTACAGGCGCCTGTACTCTAATGAGTACTAAATTTGATTTCAAATATATTCAGGAGTTGTTTTTTTATAATTTTGTATTTCGAAAATAGGTAATTTTTGGATGCTATATACATCACAACTGAGTCTAGATTAAAAAGAAACAAAACTTATGCGTTACTATAGTGACGTCTAAAAAGCTCGCGTGAGGTAGCAATTTTAATTAGATGTAGTGAAACGAAAAGAAAAGAACTAATATGTAAAGTCTTTGAAGTATCTATGAACTGCAGCTAAGTAATTTTTCAAGTGAACTCATCTGTACCTTAAAAGAACGAATAAAGGAGAGGTTACTTATCAGTTATTTAGTGTTCAATATATCTACAATGTAAAGCATTTTTGGTGGTTTTCCATCCGTTCCATGAAAGAAGTGTGTGCGTTTGATAAGAATTTTCATTTAAATTTTATTTCAAGGTTTATTACAACTTTTTTCTTTCCTACTCCAGCGAAATGAAGCAAGCATCAGTTGCGTGTTCATAGAATAAGTAGGGTCGTTGAAATGACAAGTCTTCGAGCACTCGCCTCCCTAGATATCGAACAGTTCGCTGACCCTCATCAAAGTCAAGGACTAACAACTCACACCGATCAGTTGTACTCCATGTGCTGTCTCGCTCAGATGTGATCCTGTAGTGGGATTGGGCCCTAACAACTCAATTTACAATGCTGCTGGGAAAAAAAGATGTGCAATATCCAACGCGGAGGGGAACCCAACAGTGAAAAATGCAGGGAGAATGAATGGAGTTAATTCGAATTGGCCGGACATCATGACTGGGCCTTGCAGGCGTGGTCGATCTGTACAACTTTCATTTTACTCATATTATACATACTGTTCTATCTCCAGCCTGAATGTATTCCTCATCATATATTGGTAATTGTTACGATACAATGAGTCAGTGTAGACAATGATATAACTTCCATGTAAGATCCGATAGATTAGGCAGTTACATCATAACAAATCTACCATTTTAGGATTAGGTCTATTATTAGAGCAGTACTGATATCACAGTAGACCATGATTCCACAATCATATGGTTTTTTGAACTTATTCCTGCTAATGCATTTATATAATATCATTATGTTCTTTTTATTTGACCAATAAAGTAGCCACAGTACCTGAATATGACAAAAGGGTAATCCGCATTACGTAATAACCTCGACATGTGATTGTCACATAGTTTCTGAGGTTATGCCACTCACATCCAGCCCGAGTAGGCCTCAACTATCGACACAGACCAGCCACTTAGTTGGTCTATGAATATATGCATGTAGTTTTGAAGTGAAATGAAATTGGCAGTGACAATAACACTTTTATACGCAGCACTCTAAATGCTACCTCAATCCGTCTAGGTTTACTGACAGTTCACATCCTGGGTACAAGATGGTGGTTAAGAATAGTATTCCCAAGCCCTACTCATTAAGAGGAAGATTGCTAAAAATACGCTTACGGTAGAGAACAAACTAATATCTACAACCCAACCTAGGATTTTAACGAAGAGTTTAGATGCCTTGTAGTTAAAGGCGAAGTCAATGTTCCATCTAAAAACCATAGTAAAAATTAATATGAAGTGAAGTTACTAACTATAAATCATTGATAGTAATGACAATGATTTCAATCTACTTCAACCATAAACTTAATAAGGTTTCCTCACACAAATACTTAGCTGACAAATTTATATTAACAGTTTGCTGTGAAACGTTCCTTGTTTATTATTGTCGTTTTTTACCGGCCATACTGAGCATGCACCTGTCTTGAACACTACTGACCATGCCCGTAAAAATGGGACGCAACAGCTTTGTTTGAAAAATATTATTATTACAACTGTGTAATGAAATGAATACTAATATAATCTATCCTAAGTGCCTCATTTGACAATGTGTAGTGACATTGGACCCAACTCACACGATCCTCAAAGCTGAACGGGAGACTCTTGGGAAAATAGATGTTCAACATTTAACGCTTAGAAAAACCCAACGATGGAGAAGGCAGGAACAATGAATTGAACTGATTCTAGTTGATTGGATGGAATCGCCCTGCCTTGCAGCCTTGGTCCCAGTTGAATGTTACCCTATATCATTTATTCATATTAAATGTATTGTTCTATCTGTAGCCCAAGTTTTTTCTCCATCATGTATTGGTGATTGTTATGATGCAATGAGTTGGTGTTGACCATGATGTGACTCCCATGTAAGATTTTATAGATTACATCATGACAAATCTACAATTTAAGGATTAGGTCTATTATTAAAGCAGTAATGATATCATAGGAGACCACAATTCTACAAATACTCCTATTCTTACCCAAATTTTTACAATTTTTTTCTATATATTAACATTTTTCTAGGACTAATGTAGTCTCACTTTGATGTTTTTTATTCTTGGTTGATTGGAAACTTGTTATTTGTCTTTGGTTAAATTTCTCATATATTAAATAATTTTATTATTGTATGTTAGACTGTTGATGATGAATTATTCTTGCTACATGTGGCTTCCTGTTAAAAGCGTTTGTTGATAACTTAATTGTTGAAGATAGGATTTTCAGATACTTCAACATAAACATATAAACAGCTCTTCAATGTTCGGCTGAAACTTCTAGAATTACCCCAAATATCATCAAATATGAACAGGAATTTATAAGCAATTGTCTGTAGACGAGAATCAATATCCGTTGACCCAATACCATCAGCAACAGCACACTGTGGGAGAAAGCAAACCGACTTCCAGCTGAAAAGTAAATTATGGAAAGACTTTGTAAGTGGATGGGACACAAATTGTGAAAATCACCGAACTGTATCACGAGACAAACCCTAACTTGACTTTGTACTGAACCAAAGTCACGCTGATTTTGATGGGAGAGCACATGATCATCGAAGCCGAAAATAATATAACTGAGAAGATTCATGTCCAACATTTAACTCCTGGAGAAACCCAAATATTGTTTACTCAGAGACACTTAATCGATATGGCATGGCTTGACCTTGCAGGCATAATCACTATCTAATTCATCCCTTCCGCTATTAAATACACTCTTCCATCCTTAGCTCAAATATGTTATGCAGAATTGCTTTACATCATATAGGACGAGCCAGTGTGGTGAATAATGAAGATTCCGAGTAAGATGTAACATATATTAGATAGTCACATCATGTCAAGTCTACCGTCGTTGAATAGGTCTAAGATTCTAGTGTAGCAATACCGGAATGAGGACAAGAATGACTTACAGAAGAAAACATTTTGTTTTATTGTAGTAACAAGGAAAGAAATGCTGTTGTGACGAACCAGCTAGCGTCGAAGTCACACCTCGTGGTCAGCACCTTACATGGACTACCCCATTGATATGTCAATGTATCATAGATACTTTGAAGACTGTACAACACAGAAATTATTAGTTAAAGTAGATACAAGCGAAAGGAAAACCACAGCCGCATGAACCAGTCCATGACATACGATTAGCTGATGCGCGTTGGTTGCCTTTGACCTTGACGAGGATCGACGATTTGTTCAACATCCAATGACCCAACCGCCGGGTGGTTTTGCTACGGCTCAATAGAATTTCACTGGCCCTACACTATCCATATACTATGTCCTTCACTGATGCTTTCGAAATTAGCACGGGAATATCTTATAAGATATCTCCAGGATCACCAAGTCTTCTTTCAAATTAACGAGAGAAAATATTACAACAGATATACTTTTATGGGTGCAAAAATAGCAGCGGAAAAATGACAAACATGTCTCATTACAGCTTTCAGGTCATATTCGAAAAACCGACTGGAAAGACTCGTATATCCTAATGGAGGATTTAAAAGTCAGAGTAAAGTTGAACATCACTGAGTACGAAGTCATCTTATGGCGACAAAACACATGGGAATTATGAGAATCTGGTACGTTTTTGTGCCCTAAACAATTTTTTTAGAGGCAGTGACAATTCACCACGATACTCTATACAAGAAATTACACAGGTTTCACCGGACCACTTTACAAAAACCAGATTGGTCGCCTCAGAGAACACAGATCTCTATATAGATGTGACCACATCAACAATCGAAATTATTTATAAGGCCGTTAAACAAGACAAGCATGTTAAACGTCAGTACTAAATTAAACAATGAAGTGAGATAAACATGAAATGTAAAGTTGCATTATCTTCTCTTCAGAAACATCCGGGGGAAAGTATTAGTATTGATGCTAATTAAAGCTTCAAGTCGTTTTCCAGAGCGCATTTCCTACAATGTATCTAACATACACAACCTTAGTTTTAGTGGACATAATTATGCTGAGTACCGTTTATTCAGGCGATCAAGCAACGTTAGGTTTCGACTAAATGTACACTAATGAGTAAACATACTGAGACAAAAGAACTACCGAGCCGTTCACAGGCAATCAAACCACGTAAAAGAGCCCAAATACGTGCCAAACTTGAATTTCTACCTATTCTTTCCGTAACATACTCCATTTTTCCTGTTCTGTACAGTGGTACAGTATTCTCGACATTCTGAGATGTTTTCCTTGTATTTACAAAGTTCTTCATTTTTCGTTACTTATCCTCATATTACCAACGTCCACCACGGACAACGTTGTCATTTTGTATGATGCTAAACACTACAACAGCCCGTTCGGAAATTAGCTATCTACTTCTTGAGATTCATTGCACTTTTTCTGTGTACCGCTCTGAGATGGGCTACTAGCACTTACAATACTTTACGTCAACCTATCGAAACATATATATATAGTATACATTAGTAACATTCGTCTTAAGAAAACACCGTTTCCCACTTTATGAGCACCATACTGCAGAACCTAATCTAAGCACATTCTAATAATAAGAAAACTGATTGGTTTTCTGTTTATACCGTACTTGATTGCGGAGGTAATTCATAGTACATTTCCAAGGGTAGGTTAATACAACTGCGTTGCTCCAGACACCATAGAACATCTAACTGAGCTGTTGGACACCGTATATTCTGCTTGGCACTTCCTACGACTCCGATTACTGGAACATTACGAACGAAGTCCAATTTATTCTGCTGTTTGGGTAAGTTTGAAATGTATTCTATATCAAACATCTAATGTTCTAAACATCATAAAACATTCAAAACTGATTTGGATTAGTTACTCTTAAATCCAGACCATGCATTACCTGAGGACCCACACGACACTTCCTAAGCAAATGTTTGAATTAGTTCTTGGAGAAAAAGAACTTCGTAGCGATTTATTTGGTCAACAAAATCAAGACATGGCTTTTAAAAACTTAAAGTAGCCCAAATTTGAAATGCTAGTAAGGAACTGAATTAAAATCTATAATTGACACGAAAATCTAACCTAGGCATAATTAGAAATTACGGAAGTAGGAACACCTCTACATATAAACTTCAGTGAGAAAATACGAAATATATTTAGAGTAACTAGTTCTAAGAAGATAAACAAAAGCTTGCATGTATAGATTAGGTAAGAATATCGATGGCACTGTGGTGTAATAATTTTAGAAAATGAGGTTAGTATTGAGTAGTGGCAGAAACTTCAAACGAAGGAGAAGTCCTTTAATTAAGACGATTAATATAGGGATTAGAAAATGACACCTATAAGTACGCACAGTAGTTCATGGGCAACACACAATAGTAGCTGGAAAGTGTACGTCAACACCAATGAATCATAGCTTATGCAAAACTGAGAGCAATTATAAATTATCAACTAATGTTGTATTTCAAAGCAATTAGAAATAATCAGTAATATTAACTTTTCCATTTTTTCTTGTATATAGGATACATGAATTGTGTCAGTATACGAATAAAAAAGTAGAGTTTCAATCAGGCGAGAATGAAGGAAAAATTTAACTAAATAATGAAAAGAACAGTGTACAATAATTTATACACAAAAAAGTGAAATGGCGAAAACACTGCAAGTCGGCGAATGGACGGCGTTTTGAATATAATAATAATCTCACATTATTTCTTGGTATTATTATTACTAACATATTCAGTACCATCATCTGGTGGATGTCCATACGTCGAATGAATTATAACATCCTGGAAAATTGTTAACAAAAAATTTGTATTATTGTTAAGATAATATAAATAAATATACGCACACAACAATAAGGTGAACATGCAATTAAAACAATTAAACACAACTAGTGTGCTTATTGAGTTTTGAGCTAGACACAATAACCAGTTAGACGTAAGGCAAAGTAAATTAGTGTGAAATTGGGCAAATCAACAAATTCAGGTTAAAATATGAATCCTACTGTATTTTTCGAATATGGTGTTATATTCGTAAAACTACACTCAACAATTGAGGTTTTACAAAGATGAAGTGTCCTTTATGGAAACTATTCAGACTCAACATGTACTTTCAAATACAATTGATACGTCAACATATAAAAGATAGTTGAATGGATAAAGATTAATCAGCAGAATAAAAACTAGCAGATAGGTTTAATATTTTTCTCCACATCAAAAACGGCTACATATACTCTTCCTAGTGTGGTGGGTAACACAAATATTCGTTGAAAAATAAAGGTGATTCAGCAATCTTACTTATTGAAGACCAATTATTGTATTTATAGTGATTTAATAAACATATTTGTCTGTCGAAAAAGAAAGAGATCATAACACAATATTTCAAATATCATAAAAGGGTTGCGTAACAACCTAAAGGTTAGAGAATAATAAAATTGGTGTAATTTATGGGTCGGAGAGAGATATTTGTCTAATTGACAGGTATAAAGAAGAAATGAAAAACATGAAGGTGATAGTAACAATTGAAATACAGTTATAAAAAATTGTAGAAGAACAACTATAACTGGTTAGGATATACTTGTACAAATTCACTAAGTGATGTAGAAAAACCTTATCACCAAATTGCTTTTATTTATTGTACATTAACACAATAAATTTCTTTCGTCACGAAGACTCATAATCGATTCCTGAGTGCGGAATCGTGGATACACACAGTTAGAGAGTCCCATACTAGGATAGAACGGTCGTCTAGTGTTTTCAGGTTTTCAATGGTTGTCTAACTTAGATCAGTTCATGATTTCAATAATATTCCTATCGATTAATATAAATTGTGTTTTTCAAACATGACATTGAAATTTTATAGAAATCAGTTTATACTAATCTATGCACTTAAATATGTATTTTCATCGAATCAATTATATTAGAGAATGTATTTGTTTCTAAGAAAAATGGGCAGAAGATATTGAGGTATGCTGGATGGGGGGTGGGGTAAAATGATATCATTAACTTCCTATTTAGGATTTAGTTTATGTCATTGATAAAGTATATGGACACATAAACGGGTACACTCGAATTGCTTAACAATAAATAATCAAAATATACCTATCTACTCCACTTAATGAATAAATTATTGATAGCATTCAATATATGAATATTATAAGGAAGACACTATATAACTTAGCCAATTTAGTTACATTTGTTCACTATAACAGTTTAATCTTATGATGTCGTAAATTATGTTCATTTATTAAATTGTTGATTGATTAGTATCAAATGCTACTAATCATTATAAATAAAATCAATGCATTCAGATATAGTTTTAGATCCCTTGCTTTTCAACTTGTACCGAGCCAATATCAATTTTTTAAAAATAACGGTTAGCTAGTTTTAGGTTAATGAAAACCAAAAAGGTTTGTGTTTTCATAATTATTAAAAATTAATGAACATATGCAGATAATAAACCACAATATCTGTAATTGTTACCTCAATATTTAGAAATCGCAGAAATATGAAGGTCATACTGACTGTATAGTCTAATACTCATCTGACAAAATACTACATTAAGAAAACCGTTAAGAACACCATGAACAGGTAAATTAAAGTGGAATAGCATCCAAATTTTACTGTTTATATATATCGTTAAGATATTTTAACAGTTTACTGAATGATAAGTTCACATGAATTTTAGTTTCCATGAATTTATTTATTTGAACACATAAATATTGGTATAAGAGGGCACCAAATATATATGCGCCACACAAAACAATGAGAATTTAAAGACAAGGAAAAAAAGGTAAGGAGCGTGAAAGAAAAACTGAAACTATAGAGGAAGGCAAAGTATGGGGAGTATTATTTGATTAGAAGTCAGTGTATCTTAATAAACAAGACCATTGTAATGTGCACAAACAATAGTCAACGATTTCTTGTCTGGATACAAAACAAACAACAACAATAGACTTACATAAATCCAGGAAAGATATGCACATTGCACAGATTACATTAGAAATACCAATCATCAAGGAAATCGGCGAGACTATAATTTACGGACGAACCAATTATACATAAGATAACAGGTTTTGAATTTTGGCACGAAATTCATTCACTTATTTGTCTAAATAGTGTTTCGGCATTTTGGCTGATGTCAGTTAGTAATGAAAATTCTAAATCCTCACACTAGTTTATAACTCTCATTTAGCCCTAGTTATTAGGTGGACACTCCAAATCACCTTGGTGTTGCTCAAAGGTCGCCCATAAATTATAGTCTTAACAGGACATCTTATCAATAAACCAAGGATATATATACGATAACATATACAAAAAAAAAACAAATTACAGCAAACAGATTCTACAACAATGACAGTGAAAATAAATACCTACAGACGACATTTATACATAAATACAACTGCCGAGCACATTAATAAAAACGCACACGAATTCCATTCTTGGAGGGAATCCATGTAATTGCTGGTAGGTGGGTAAATTTATCCATACAAAGTATCTGGAAGCAACATACATGCGTATTACATTGATTGAAAGTATTATATAATGAAAACCAAAATGAACAATTATGCATGAAAAGTAAATAAATGATCATAATGAATTCATTTTAAACTCAGATGATTCAGGCATATTTCTGATAGAGAATAAGATTCCAGTCAGTCTAACAAACATTAGATACGACCCGACCGTAGATGCTATCTTGAAGTGGTGATCGAATTTGTCCATTGTGTTGACTCGACCTAGCTATATTGGCTGGAACACATGCTTCTTTAGGTTCTACCAACCCAGGCATGTCGGTTAGAGAACGGTAAAACTAAAAGCACCAGCTTAAGTTTGAGGGTGACGTCATACTTCTGACTGTAGATGAATGTGACAGTAGTAAGGTGTTTCCTTTAGACAACCAGCATTGCAGCAATTCTGTCTTCTCAAAACGGAAGGGGCTAGGAAAAGGTCAACCCCAATATTCCGTCATGGGTGTCTTCGAAACATTGCTCGTACACCTTGGGACTACAGAGTAAGCAACGCCAGGGTTAGGAATACAGCACTAGGTAGGAAATCGGTTGGTGAGGTAGCAAATCTTCATCAACTGAGGTTGTTAAGACATGCATCACATATATTCGACCACCGCCTACCCCGAAGGGCGATGTTTTCTGGTACAGGAACAGGTTGAGAAACAGCTCGAGGCGGCCAAAACAAAACATGACACTAGTTTATGAAGTCAATAACAAATGAACTTAGCTATGTCAATAAATACAGACTACCTGGTTGGGGTCCGTGTGATTATCTTAACTAATAAGTAGACTTTCAATGACGTGGGTCAAAATTGTTTGCAATGGCGCAAGTGCATCCATTCTTTGCTTTCTCCAAATTTTGAAATTCTCAATTCCTCATAGCTCTTTTCTTGTTTTCATTTTGCTAATTTATAATTTCTTTTTGAGTCGCACGTTCGATGTCTAAAAATTCCAATTACCACTGATACTGTTACTACCTCTACTATTCTGCAATTTGGTCTAACAACTTCACCCCCTTGTGTTACCGGGGTATATATATATATCATGTCATACTTAATATTAACGCAGTAAAAAATTAACAAGCAAGTAAGTCAAAACAAAACTACTAATGTTGATTTGAAAGAAAGAATAAACAATAATCGTTATTATCAAAAGTGAATATTTAAAAGGAAATAAACAATTAATATGTTTGGATGGCTGAGATCGATCTCGGCCAGTACCTCGTGAACTTTAAACACAAAGTTAGCATCCAAAGATGTACCACCTCAACATTTAAAGTTTTAAAAATTCTATTTCTATGACAGGTTTCAGCGTATTGTCGAAAACAGCCGTAGATATAAGTATTTTATGGTTATTCAATTATCTATCAATAAAACAACGTAATATGCCGAAGTCATACATTCTAGATTATTTTTACAAAGCAGCCAAATAGATAAATCAGTGGCGGATATCCTGATAAAATTAGTTGCGACAAGACTCAATTGAAAAACTCGAGCATCTAACAAACCAAGCGGAATTTATGTGGCGAACAAAAATCAACGTCGGTGCTTGAAGACAACTCAATTTCATAGAAAATATCAAAAATGCAGGTAAACATGAGACTATATCACTTTGGTAAGAAATATGTGTATCTGACTAGATACGTCAATTATCGATTAGGAAGTCACTTAGAACGAATAAAAAATCATATCACAATGGTATGTGTCTAAACTGTTCTCCATCGAAGATTTAAATAGGCATCGGGGTTAGCAAAATATTTTTACGTACTCGTATATGTTTTCATTTGTGTAGATTTGATTTTGATGAAGGCATGAAATCTGGTGATTAATAATCCATAAGTAATTATCAGTTTAGGGATTACAAGAAGTTTCCTGAACTTATCCTGTGGTACGAAGTTATCATAATTAGTAACTGGTGTTACACTAGCCATTCATTTTAATTTGACTGCTAGTAATTAACAATATGAGATGAGAAGCTTAATACATGTAAACAGTTAGATTTTTCTTGAGATAGTGACGCAAGAAATAAGATGAGATATCACTGATAACGACCTTACCTAAGGTGATGGAATGGTATTTAGAATAAAGAATGCCTTAACTATCGTAATTTACGACATTAAATTACTGAACAATAAAATAACAGATGTGATTGATATTTTACAGGATATTTCGTTTAACAAAGGTCGTTTTCAACAATGAACAATTATAGCCAATTAAATAAGAACTAACCCATCAAAAACAATAAAATAGGGAAACATGATAACATTGTCAAAGTCAAGCATTTAGTTGTAAGATTTATTCTAAACGCGATTTCCAAAAGACAAATCAGCAACTTAAACGAGTAAAGTCACAATTCAAACCGAAGCAACTCTTGGTCTTATAACAAAATAGCACACATACTGAAAGATCTTAACTTTATGGAATAAACTTATCATAACAAATTTCATTCACAATCTAATCAATTATTTCATAAATAGAAGTATTTCTATTTCATTCTTCAGTGTACCTATTTTCTAATTGCTAACTGACGATCCAGCATAAATACATAAAATGAAGAGTAAGAAACATTTATCAACATAAAATGGGACTTCTTTTTACATACATTCAAAATTGCAGGACACAAACTAATAAATTATTTCGGCGAGACTATAATTTATGGACAAACCAATCAGATATAGGATAACAGGTCTTCAATTTTGGCACGAAATTCATTCACTTATTTGTCTAAATAGTGTTTCGGCATTTTAGCTGATGTCAGTTAGTAATGAAAACCCTAAATATAATTCCTAACTTTAACCATCAACTGTAAATCCTAATTCCTCACACTAGTTTATAACTCTCATTTAGCCCTAGTTATTAGGTGGACACTCTCCAAATCACCTTGACGTTGCTCAAAGGTCGTCCATAAATTATAATCCTACCATTAATTCTGTATGCGCAGAAAATAAGATTATCTTTGGGGTTAAAAAATATGTAATAGAAACAAATGTTAGTATATATATTCCAGTCTGCATATCAGCATAAATTCGTGACCAAACGCAAGTTTAGATTTAAGAATCAAGATGATTAAACCATTAATAAGCACACACACATTTCATTCAATTTGTGTTGTCACAATGATAAACGGATGCAGGTTAATTTAGTAAAAACACTAAACAAACATATAACTGTAATGTTTTTTTAAAAATCTGTTCTTTAAAACACGGTGGAAGTATTCAAATAATTCATATTATATGTATTATAGAGAGAACCACATGACTATAGTTTGTACATTCAAACAATATTTATCATTAACTAAGCAATACTAAAAGTCAGATTTCGGAATGAAATGTGCGAATTAAAATGAGAATAATCACTGACACTAACTTTATTTTGAATTCATAATTAGAAAATAAAGTGTATGCTGTTTATTTTCCAGAATTAAACTGACTTAATCTGACCAACGCATACAATGTGTAGCCATTAATCTAATTTATAACTTTACCATACACTTAATGTGAGAACATGCCTCGGAATCTATCACGATAGCCTAGAAAAACAATCGCCCTTCATTTTGCAGTAAATGTTACGTCACAGTAGCTCTCCAAACATACTTTTTTATTCTCTATGTTTAATCATTCGCATTATTATTGCTACATTATTTCGATTCATGTATTAATAACTTAATTAATTACATCTCGTCAAGCTTGTGTCATAGTAATTAGGACCAACGCATACATGTGCCAGACTCTACGTCATATTGACTGACTATTACCAAGACTAATGATACTAACTTCCTCAGTACCTGTAGTTGGTGCTACTTTATAATATTCAAGTTGGAGACAGTACACTTTCGACAAGAATCTAGTTTATATGATAGGTTAATGAAATAAGACATCACAATTGCCAGAGATATCACTAATGATTGAAATATTGATAGAATAAACGCAAACAAATAGCTTATTCAGTGCAATACACAGTAGCCAACTTAAAAGTAGAATCTAATTAAATTTATAATATAACTTGATTAGGGATTTATTCCGAATTGGTCATATTATAGTCAGTCAGCTGCAACGTAGGACCAGGCACAAATATGGATCGGTCCAAGTTGCCACACTTCATTATCACAACAAGATCAATACCAAATTCATAGTAGTTACTTCAATGGTAGTAATGTATAAAAGAAACTGTGTATAAGGATATAATACAGGAAGAAAGAAAGGTATAAAGTAATTTTAATCTCACCGTTTAAGGGAAGATAAAGAGTTTATACACTTACACCACTGTGTCACACAGTGTCTACAACCATTGGTTACGATAGTCGCGTCGACCCCAACCAAAAAGTATACATCTACCAACATGGCTCACATCACAAGTTAGTGACTTCAATGACTGATGCCACGTTTTGGTTTGGCCGCCCTCAACTTTATTCCAACAGTCTCCAACACTAGTCAGCATTGTGCGTCGTGGTAATCGGTGTTCAGATATACGTGACCCAACCATCTCAGTCGGTGAACATTCACAACCTCATCAACTGATTTAAGATCATTTCTTAACACCCTGCGTCTAACCTCATTATTACTTACCCGATGATCCCAGCAGATGCGAGCTATATTTCTAAGACATCTGTGAACAAATACTAGCAACTTACGAGTATTTAATACTCCTACTGACCGCGTTTCGTAGCCGTAAAGTGGAACAGAACGAACTGCTGCGCAGTGTACTCGTCCCTTGATTGATAGACGGATATCTCGCCTTGGCCATAGGTAACGTAAGTTGGCAAAAACCAAACCAGTTTTCTGAATCCGTCAACAAATTTCGCCAGACACCAACCGATTAGGGCTGGTCAGACTTCCAAGACAAGTGAAGTTGTCGACGCGCTCGACTACTTTACTCCCTATCCTTAGTTCAGGTGTTGATGCAGACCAGTCCTGAAGCAACAGCTTGCATTTAGAGGGGAGAAACGCATCCCAAACATCCTGGCATTGCTTTTCAGTGCTACCAAAAGATCCTGCATTTTATCAGCGTCTCCACAAAACAGGACAATTTCATCCGCGTACTCTAAGTCGATAAGTGGATCTCCTGGAAGGATATCAATTCCTAAAAGTTCAGTCGACGAGGAAGTTAGTTCCATCAGTGTGCATATGATGAAGTTGAACAAAAATGGAGATAGTGGATAACCTTGCCGAACATCACTTGAGGTTGTTCAATCAGATGAAGGTTTGCCATAAGCTGACTCGACTAGTAGTGCTCGAGTAAAGAGCCTTCACAATGTTTATGTACTTCTGAGGTACGCCTTTCAATGACAGACACTGCCACAGAACCTCTTAGTCAGAGTCGAGTGCTGCTTTTACGTTAAGAAAGACCACCACTGTCGGACGCCGATAAGCATACCTGCGTTCTAGAACCTGACGAGTGGTGAATGTGGTCGATGCAGCCAAGACCAGGTCTTAAGCCAGCCTGATTTTCTCGTGTTTGCAGTTCACGAGTCTTAGGCGTCCGATAAGTATTGAGGCTAGTATTTTAGATGCCATGTTAGTCAAACTAATCCCTCTATGTTTATCACAGGATGATTTTGATTCTTTCTTATATATTGGGACAGTAAGTGATTGCGACCAGTCAGATGGGATTTTAGCTAAAATATTAGTTAACCTCAACGCTAAAAGTAGACCATCATCCACAAAGACCTCTGGAGCCAATCCATCTGAACAAGCTGCTCTTCTTCGTTCCAGATTAGCTATAACTTTCTGAACCTCAGATAGAGTCGAGGGACCTACTTCAATGTTCCATTCACGCTGTCTGGGAATCTTGAGTAGTTGTAGAATAGCTGAAGGCCAGCTGAACTGATCCTTAAAATATTCGGCCCATTGTTCTAAACGTCTGGACTGAGAGCAGATAAGAGTGTCGTATTTTTCCGAAATCACCTCACCTAAATTCGACTTAATAATTCCAGTTTCTTTTATTAGTCTGAGAAGCTGTTACCTACAGCCGCTGCCTTTTCCATCTCTATTTCTTTCGTTGCCCACCACTGTTCACGGTCGTTCCTTAGTCTTTTAGTTAACCAAGATCTGATTTGTATTCGCTCGTTATCGTGTTCAGAGCCTGATGGCATGAGTTTACGAGAATCTATCAGTGCTAGAGACTTAGCAGAAATCCATCGGTTTTTCGTGACCCTTTGGTTTGAATCACTAATAGATGGAGCTGCTGTTTCCACAGCTGTTGGTATATCTTTCCAGGTAACATCTGGGTTACCTCGTTTTCAGAACTACCTAGGTATGACCTGAGTTATTCCCGGAATCTACTTTCGGCTTCCTTGACTTGAATGGGTCTTCTAATGTGGTTTTTATGCGTCCAGAGAGGCGTAAGCAAACGCGTGCTCGTACTAGAGCATGATCGGAGTCCAAGCAGGTATTCCAGAACGAGCGACAGTTTTCCATAAAGCCTCTCAAACGAATACTGGTGGCAATATGGTCTATCTGAGTCCATCGTTGATTCGGTGCAGAGGGTCGCCATGTTAGACGGTGTCTCTCCTTATGCTTAAAATTAGTGCTTCCTAGAAATAAACGACTGTCTGAGCACAGTTGCAGCAGACGGTCATCATTATCTGTTCGCTGAGCCGGAATACCAGAATACCCATTTAAATGTCTTTCTGTTTGGTTTAAGCTACCTACCTAGGCATTAAAGTCACCTGCTACGGGTGCTATGTCTGAACGTTTAGCTTCCTGAGGAAGTTCAGAAAGCTTTCTGTAAAAGTCGTCTTTCACACTATCCGAGGTTTCAATAGACCTGGAACAGTGTTTCGCGCACTAGAATCGTTGACCATGGTGACACTTCCGGAGGAAGTCAAAAGAGTAGGTTTAGAGTTGAAAGTCAAGGTAGGAGGAATAATAGGAATTGAAGAGGGAGATTGATTATGAATACAGTGATCTTGAGTGCTGTTAGAGGTATGAGGGCGGTTATCACTTCCTGGTTGCCCACACAGTAGGGGGGTTTCTGGAGGTACCTGAAAAGGAAATTGGGTTCGAGGTGGTCTTAGTGACCTGAGAGCGTGACCGCAGTGCCCAAGGGACAACTGCTTGAGGTCGGTCACACACAACCTTTTTGTGAGTAATTTTCGTGTTAGCTCCGTACTTAGTGGAACCCTACAGCCGGAGATGGAAATCTGCGGGATAAGGCAAGATGTGTATTTTTAGGGTCAACCTTTTCTAACCCCAGCCCTCCTTGTGGGAAGACAGCATCGCTGTTATGCTGGTTGTCTGAAAGAAACAGCTTACCACCGTCACATCTCTATATAGTCAGCAGTACGACTTCGCCTTCGGACCATGGGTTTGCTGCTTTTATTCTTACTGCTCTTCAACCAACCCGTCTGGCATGGTAGGACCTTGAGGAACGGTTGTCCCAGCTAGTATAGCTCGACTGGTTCATCAAGATAGGCAAGCACGACCACCACGTCAAGGTAGAAGCAGCGGTCATATTATAGCTCCTCTTTTAAACTTGTTCGTTAGTTTAGTATAAAGAAGTCAATAACAGAGTAAAACGTTTCCTTGTTTTCTTTTTTAGATGAAAAAGCCAGACTATCATCGTCATGTGTCAATAGGGATTAATTAAATGAATTATCAGAATATTTGATCAATGTCACGACAAATAAAATTTCCCAACTGACCCCAAGCACACACATCAACAAGAAACCAATATATTTTTTTAAAAGAACCTACTTTAACTGTTGAATAAGCAGAACCAACTTTATCATTCAATGATTTCACAACCTCTGAATTCCTTGAGTAATAGAAAGAGGAGAACAAATAACATTGCATGATTAAAGAAAAGGTGAAATTGAAACCTTACCGAATAGCAGAAATTGTTGATCCGACTTTTTCTTTAGCATCTTGGGCTACATTGACGGTCTTATCTTTAGCTTTACTTAAAAGTTCGCTTGTTTTGATATATCTGAATCAAATTTAAAAAAAAAACGAGGAAAAGCATTAAAGGTAGTCAAAAAGTGAGAAACCACAGTAAACAACGTTAACATAAATACCTATGCTGCTAAGTTGATGATATTTGACTGCTGACAATAAGAATTTGCAACTTTCTAAAGTTCAACCAACCTTACGATTACAAAAGTAACAAATATGTAGGTGATAAACATATTATAGTAAATCAATCACTAGATCTAGGTTAAATAGTTGGCGAAAAAGCAGGTCGATAAAACAATACATAGACTGGTATATATGTGCATCGGCACATATCACCATACTTCACAGTAATGGAACAACGCGAAGAAAAATGAGATATTAAACAGACAATATGACTGAAAAGGAATAAATGAAATAAGAGGATGGGTAATGCCGAACAATCCAAAGCTCACTGAATACAGCCAAGCCACTGTGATGGAGACAAACACTGGGGAAACATCCTTTTGCTCTATCGTAGTACGCTTTGAGAAGAACCTGGACCTTTAAAATGTTTTGGTCTTTAAGAACGTTGACAGCTATGCAATCTAATTTAACAATCCTCCTGGCGAAAGACTACACTATGGTAAAAACTTTATTTACTTGTGGTAAAACTTTTATTACGAGGATATTGATGAGGAAACTGACTATAGGGGAAAACAAGGTACGAATGAGGGATACCATAACCGAAAGCTTAGGACTTTACGTTCAACTCACAAATGACCTTTTGAAGACTGGTATAGTTATAAAAAGGCTGTAATTAGTTCTATAACGGTAGTATATATTAAAAGAAAACTAGGGAAAATCAGTACACTGACTATATATATATAGCACTCACGCTTCTGTATCTTCCAATTTATGAATACCTTCCATGAGGTCATACTGCAATGTAGAAAGTGTGGTAAAACCAAGAGCCTTTTTTATCTCGTTAGATCGGCGCTGCTTAACAACAAGAGTTTCTTGAAGGAGACGAATTTCTTCTTCAACCTACAATATGAGAGTACATAGGAAGTGAAGAAATTCATACTAAAAATAAAACTACAGGCCTGAAAACGGATTAAATATTGTTACTACATAAAATATCGTTAACATATAGTAAATAACTGAAATTAGTGAAAAGGTACCTCAGTATTTGAAGTGTTCATCTTTTAATCATAGAATTTCAGGCTCGAATACTGACCCAATTAAATCGGTGTGGAAGACAAGATAGTAGTATTATATGCCCTTACAGAAGTGACTGATTGTCAATTAAACGAAACCTTACTTCCTAAGTTACACTGTTGTTATGAGAATCGATGAGCAGAAAATCTTCGCATAATTATTCAATCATATGAAGTTAAAATATTGTAATTACATAGGTTCAATTGTATTCTACACTTTAGTACTTATGAATTCAGTTTTATATGCAGTAAATGCAGTGAGAGAAGTTAATAAAAGTATTTCCTCGTCTCTGCTATGGAAAACCATTGGCACGTGAGTTTTTTAAAGATCCTATTTAGATTTAAATTATTTGACATGAGGCGATACAAATACCAGTTAGTATGAAAGTGTATTGAAGAAAATACTCTGAATGGAAACTTTGTTTAATGAACATAATTACTTAATGTAATGGGGAAAGAAGACTGGCGAAAATTCATTTACATTTATTATACGTCCATTAAGTGTTAAATTTTTTACCCTTCTAGTTAACAGTTTATGAGGCCATAATTCTTATAGTACTACCCTTTGAAACGAATTATTCTATCAGCTAACCAGAAACAAATAACTATATAACTGATCTTGTATTTAGACGTAAATAACGTTAGTAGGTCTGCAGTAATGTAACCAATTTCGATCCATATATCGAATTTGATTTCTAACTACTAGTTTTTGGTATTTTGAAGAAACCTACCTTTACAATATCGACATAAAACTGCACACAAAGCGCAAAAATCCAAAAAACCTCACCTTTTAATAAATGAGTAAAGTTAAATGCTGCCTTAAAGCCAAAGGCAAGTACGTATGCATAAGACAACTTGACGAGGGATGACAACACCTATTTAGTCCCGAAAGTTGCTTAGTACTTACAGATCGTTAGTTTATGTTTGGCAACAGTTAAACTAACCAACGTCCTTTTCGAGCTTGATAATTGAGGACTGATATCGAATACTGTTGGACTTTTCGCCATGTTGATTCTGGTTACTGTTACTTGATGTCACTAAATATACTAAGGCAATCTATTCTTCAGCTGATTTTCTTCCCCATGGTATTCGGAACCAGATGAAGTGAGATCGGATAGAATTGTGAAGACCTACTACCTTTTAGTGGATTTTGGTCACGTTAAAACACTTACAGTCGATGTACACACATTTGGTTTCCTCGTTTTACAACTAAAAACATGGACTTTAGATATGTTTTCGAACACTTTAGGACACAAAAAGAAACATTTATCCAAAGATTGAAACACAGATGGTATCACAAGGGAAACATTACTCGTCTCCCGATCCTTCTCAAATACGATAAGGAACGATATTTAACCGGGTTCGTTGGTAACTTGATATCACAACTCGCTTAGTCGGAAAAACTCCGCTCATGATCAAAGTTACAGGAGATTAGAAAAAGTTTATCAGGATGAACGGACAGACTTAGGCAAACAATAAACGCAATACATAGAACGTTTATCGACACCTCTGACAACCATATTACTAATTAACGTTTATGACAAAGTCAGCAGTCAACAAAGAAATAATTCAGAAGTGCCAATGACATGGGGAAATTATCTAGGTACTCCTAGCATCGTTGAAGGTAATGCTTCCACTCCTTTAAACATGAAGACAGTTGTTGTAGCTATCCAAGACCTTTAAAACTTTAAGATAGTCAAACCAATCAATTGATCTATAGGATTACATGTTTTAGTATGAATTATACTTAAGTGAAGGCTGGTGACACTTGCCTGAACAAACTAGTACAGAGTGGGGTTTAAACCTGCGACCTATTGATTCATAGTCATATCCTCTATTCAGTTAACACAAGACAGAAACCCGCATGAACCAATAAGAATACCATTATATTTATAAACAGCAATCAAAAGTATAGTTTTGTTAATCAAAATAGCAAGCCAAATCAAGGAGTTGTAAACTAAGCTTAAGATATCATGATCTATTTCTCGTTGTGAGGGTAACACAACAAGTACTAGAACCTAATATTTTTAACGTTTTAGGGGACGTTGACTTTGTCAACGAAAAACAATACAAATTACCTGAGACAATTCAACTTGTAGCCTTGCATTTTCCTCATCTGATAAAACAGGTTGATCAGTGCTTATTTCTTGAGGTACAACAGGAGCGCTTGGGTCCATCATTGATGTAGTTCTCAACTTTTGGTAGGATTTTGTTTTTAGCTAAGAAGTACTATTTACTGGGAAAGGGTGAAGACCAGAGAAATAATCTGTAAAAGAAGTCATGATATAAAGTGAATCGACTGCTGAGTATGCACACAGAACGTGTTAAATAATATTAAAAGCAAATTATTACAATTGGTGAGGATACAAGCGAAAGATCACGACAATCTGAAAAACGAGACCACAATCGGGGAGGTCAAACCGTTGTCGACGCACCGTAACCCAACAGCAGTTTTGAGCGCTTCCGAATTCAATATCCAAATGGTTCAAATGGTTGTGGACGGAATAGAAGAAGCTTTCGCTTAACGGGCTTCCCTGTCTAGTAGCAGCGGATCACCAACATCTCCGGGCAGAAACCTGGATATATTAACGATAATAGAGGAAAAAGAAATTGGTAAATCATAGTAAGATATTATTGTAGCGGTAAATAAATCCCCAAAATAAATAGCTCTGTAAGTTTTCGACATTGGATGCTGACCACACGTTTTAGTGGACTCATCTAGCTGAACGCGCTCGGTCAGGCATCCGCACCAGATCACGTGTGGTAACGCCGTGCTCAACATCAACCGCAATCGCTAGCCAGATTAGATCAGAGAATTCCGATATATTGGTCATCGCCAAATATACTCTTCCGATCTCCTCGACTCTGTCTTTTGATTTCTCTGGGTGGGAACGAAATATATTAGAAGGTGTTACTGGTAGAAGCGTTGTCAAACACTGAATACCTGTGACATCCTCATTATCATTCGTCCTTAAGAATAGATCAAGTTTCCTCCTAACGGACTCCTGAGAAGTCGCCTGGACTGGCTCATCCGGCAGCTAATCCCAGCATTTAGCAACTCTTAAGGAGTAGAAGTTGTGTCTACAGTCCATTCTGCCGTGTTGTGTCCCTAGTTTCTGGGTGTTATGCCTTAGGTTTGTGTTGCAGCTAAACTTAAGCAGGTATTTAAGGGGATGTCCAGAAGTGTTAAGGGTACTGTAAGCCATTAGAGTGTCACCTCTAAGACGCCTATCCGCTAATGGGCAACAGTTTAGTGACTGGAGGTTCTCTTCATAAGGCTTGAATTTGAATCCCCGAACTGATTTCGTAGCCCGCCTTTGGATACGTTCCAGAGTGTCCTTATCATTTGGAGTGAGGGAGGAAATACTATACTTCCATACTCTAAATGAGGACGAATAAAACCAGTGAAGCTCATATTGAAAGTTTTTCTGTCAAACTGGCCAAAATGCGCTCCAATGTTACCAGTGCAAAGTTTTCTCGAAAGGCATTTTTCTCACAGTTAGCGTAAAACTTCAAATCGTAGGGCACCAGGACTCCTAAATCTTTTTCGACTCGAGATACCACTGGGGAGGAGTTTCTTAAGTTGTAACTGTAGTCTGTGACATGTCGCAGATGGACTACTTTACACCTTGAATTGTTGAAGGTAAGTCCGTTGTCATCTTCCCAACTTTGAAGTTGAGTCAGATCCTCCTAAAGTGCCAGTATATCCTTTTGGTTGCGTATTACTCTCCAAAGTTTCACACCGTCAGCAAAATAAAGAACTCAGACGATACCTGTTATTGGAGACCGTTTATATAAACCAAGAAAAGAAGAGGTCCTAGTACTGGGGGAACCCACCATGACATTCCATAGCTTGAGGGAAATTCAAGTTAATCTTGACCTAATATGTCGATTTTCTAGATATGAAATGACCCAATCAATTAAAGGTGATACATAATCGTCTGAGCTTATTGATAAGACATATATGGTTGATCCCATCAATTGCTTTTGAGAAGTCAAGATAAATGACATCAACCTTCCCCATGCGATCAAGGATGGTTGTCCATCTGTTCACCGCAGTCAGCAGGTTGGTTATACGAGAATGACTCTCCCTGAAACCATGCTGTTGGGGCGAAAAAAAGGTTTAAAGATAATGAATAGTCATCTATACCGTCGTGTATCAGGGACTCCATAATTTTTGAAAGAAAAGAGCACAGAGCCATCGGTCAGTAGCTCGAAAGTTTGCCGCGTTGACCTCCTTTGAAAATCGGTGTGATGTGAGTCAGCTTCCAATTTTTCGGTAGTCTGCCTAGGCTTAGCGAGTGTGAGAACATCACGCTAAGCGGTGTTGCCAGAATTAAAGCTGTTTTCCTCAATATAGTAAAATTAACCATATTCGGACCAGGAGAAGTGTCTTTTCTTAGGTGCTGAAGTTTCCGGTACATCAATTCAGCGCTCACGTCCTCTTATGAAAATTCTGTTGAGTTACAGGTAGAGTTCTTGTCTGTGAGTCTAGTATGAAACGGCCGAAATGCTTGAAAATACTGTCCTTCTAGGAGGTCGGCGGTGTCACCGTCTTTGGTGGTTGTGCCTATGCTACCCATCAATTCGAGAACTCCGGTTTCGGACAACCCAGTGAAGTCCCGAGTGAAGAGGCTACAAAAGTTCTTTTTTTTGGAATTTGAATATATATTTGAGCATATTGAAAATTTTTTTATTCAGTCCAAGAAATCGAGACAAACAAAGTGCTATGTAGTGTCTTATTTACAGTGATCGTTTGGGTGTTCCGGAAACCTTACTCTTCCTGAACGTATTGCTTTGACTCGGTTGTCAGATGCCAATAAAGTGTCGTCGTGATTGTTGATTATCGGGTAAGGTATCGTAATTGTGAGACTCGTGTCTACAATGGTATCAGAGGAGAATGGATATGAATAGGGTTTCTTTCTAAATATGCGGCATCGAGGCGGTCGATGCTGTTAGTTCCGTTCATGTCGATGATATTGTTCTTGGGTTCACGCTGAAGAACTTTGAAAGGTCATTTGTATGCCGTTGCGAAAGGTTGTCGAAGTGAGTCGTGATGTGTGTACTATACCGTAGGACAGCTCGAACAAAAACATAAGTTGTTCACGGCCGAGTGACTGGATGCAAACCATTTGTAAGCCCGCTTGTGTAGGATGTTAGATCCATATTCATTGAAGAAGATGAAGGAGCCAGGAGTTCTCCTGGTTGTTGAAGTGCCGTTTCAATGTCAACTTTCACTGCATTGCGAATACCGAATAAAACGAGTGTAAGAGTGTTGATTCACTAAGAAACGTTTGCAGCTGCTAGTGACGCTTGTTCAATTAATCAAACCTAAATTACAATAAGTAAGGAAGTTGATAAAGGATGCGAGAAAATTACCAATCGCAACAGATAGATGCTATTCTATCCTGTCTGGATAAACCATGCACAGATTCATTCAAAAGATAATATTTCGTTGCTTTATAATATAGAGTGTTTCCAATTCTGGAAAAGTGTTGAACAGATCTGTCAATAAACAGTTAGAATATGGCAGTAAACAAAGTCAGAACGAGGATTGTGTGTGAACGCGTGTATTTAGCGAACGGTGGTCAGTAGATCATGCGAATTGTGAGCATGAACGATTTGAGTCAATTAAACTAATGTTTTAGTCGATTGAATGTTTGTTGACACGGAATAGGTTATTGGAAAATTATAAATAATAACAAAAAATATTCACAAATTAGGTTTTGTCAATCATACCCACATACTCTGTGATTAGTCCCCGTAATCAATAAAGCAGAATGTAGGACTCTGCAAACAGAAGTATATTTTGCACATTAGAAGGTAACGAAAGTTTACAATTATGCGACAAGCGGTTTATTCATAGTTAGTACATATAAAAAACACAAATACAGTTAGGTGTACAATGTCATAACAGGTAAAGAAAGCGTGATGTTTTACGAGAGTAATAAAAATCGTTGGGTTTTCTCATCAATATAAAGTACCTTATCGTTTGATATTCTCTATGATCGTATCTGGGTAGCGAAATCATTCTTAAGGTATAGAGACATGATAGAGGGAACTTTCCAGACGAGATTTTATGCAAACACTAAAAATGTTTTCCAATAGTAAAGGGGTCAGGAAAGGTAGCTTTCTAAAGAGTAATTTCATGATAGCTTAGGTTCCATAAAAATATGTTATGTTTCATTACGGTCAGAGTAAATATGCTCCGTACAGATTTACTTCCTAGTACAGAATGTATTTTTACTGTCTAAATATTGTGATTTTGCAATAAGATATGATGAACAAAAGGTGTGATTAAACGAGGTCTGAACGAAGGTTAAAATACACGACGGGGAGAAGAAACAAATGAATGACAGTACTGTCCAACAAAAAGGCTGCGGAGGGATTCCCATTGTTCTCTTGCTGTTACACTGGCCCCCAAAATCCATCCAGCTACGCAAAGACACCTTAGAATACATTTCTGTCATGATTATCCTCACTAACTCCTTTATATCGACGGGAGGTAAAGAACTTACAACAGTCCGCCTGTACACCCATAAACCTGACATACAACCTACTGCTATACGGCTTCTTCCAGAAATCAAAGCATTCGCAGCTTCCTCATATGTTCCACTTCTCGCCAAGACTAGTAACTTAGTATAAAGCGAAACGTTGTCCGGAGGTTTGCCCCTGAGTATGTTCCACGAGTAGACAGAGGAACTACAACCGGTCCCAGTCAGGATCTTCATCATAAAGTCGGTAAGATCTCTACCAACAAGGTCCAGACGCAAAATAGCATAAGGCAACGCATAAGCTTCATAAGTCGAAACTGTGTAGGTCACACCCTCACATAAGTCCAACACTATACCAGTTGTACAACCAGATGCATACAGGAATAACACCGCTTGAATAGCGACATACACAGCTGGTGTAGTAAAAGTTTCAGACATGATCCATGTCATCTCACGGTTTGCATTCGGATTCAATGAAGCTTCTGGCAAAAACAATGAATGCTCCTCTGTTGCCACTCGCAACCCGTTGTAGAATGTATGGTACCACATCTTCTCCATATCACCCCACTTAGTCAAAATACCATGTTCATCTTGGCACTGCAGTGTCAGGATACAACATTTCGATCTAGCATTGTCTTCCATATGATTGTCCTTTTGATCCATTTTCCCCATCAATCCTTGATGTC